ATATTTTGCATTATTTGTAGGTATTCTCAGAATCTGGGAGTTGGACTAGTATTCTGGGTTTTGATAAAGGATTCTTGCAGATTACTTCTGTAGAGCTTTATGAGCTTATAGGCATCAGTTTTTAAATTTCCAAGAGAGGATTTCTGTATCTGGATTTAAGCTTGTTTCTGTGGGAAAATTAGATTTTTTGTCACAGAATAAAGACTTCGGAATTACTGACCTAATATAGTACAAGACTCACACTTGACAAAGAACATTTGTGGTTTTTAATAGAAAGAGTAATTATGTAGCATTTTGTCTTCTGCACTTTACTCACAGTGAATCTGAGCCACATCATTAATACTTATTGATATTTTCAGGTAGTTTGGGGTCATAACTGCTGTAAAATTTTAGCTATTTTAATGCCACTGTGGGCTCATGCCATGTGTTAGGCTGTCAATGTAAAGTTACTGCATGGATTCACTGGAAGGCCATACAGTTTAATTTGTGTTATACCAAATTCTGGCTGAGCATATCTCTGAGATAAGAAAACTAGTAAGATAAGCATGGGACCAGAAATGGAGATTAGGCCATGGTTCAAGTAATACATGGACACCATTGGTGACAGCACCAGACTTTCAGGGCATTTTGACTTGTCTCTGTTGGTAGACACAGTACATGAAAGGTGAACCCAAAATGGGAAAGGATTTTGAACACTGAATTTGTTTGATAGAAAGCCTAGATTTTCTGCACTCAGATTTTTTTCTATGAAGAGGGAGGAAATATGGAGGGGTGTCACTCTGAAGAGGTTCTGCAAGGAATGATTTCAAAGTTGATTGACTTAAAAATGTCAAGTGTCTGTAAAAAAGATCTGCCTCTAAAGGACTACTGCTTTGTGACACATATGGTGGTACTGTTAGAAGAAGTAGGGCTTTAGGTGGCCCTCTCTAAATACAGGACTTACAGAAAACGGTTTTTAGTAACTATGTTAAGTCATTGAAACATGTTAGAGAGCATTATCAAAACGGAAGTGCACGTAATTGAAGAATGACACTCTCTACTCAGAGAAGTACCCTGCCAAATTACTCTTTGGTCTTCAATTTAATTTTTACTTACCTTGTTTCAATAACCTGATGTTGAAATGGACTTTCTTATGGAAAATGTTCCCTTCTCTTTTCTTTGCCTGATTGTAGTTTGCAGATAAGTGCTGAATCCATTTTAGAAAGTGCTTTGAAATGTCTTCTCCATGGGGGAGTTAGGTATATGTATGCACAATTCTGTGTTAGGGAGCAGCAGGAAAGTAGGCCAAGATAATTTTTTCTCTTCAGCTGATTTAAACACCCCAAAAAAGGTGTTGTGTTCCATCCTCAGTCATTCTGCAAGGGTATGGCACAGGACAGGGAGTGGGCGGTGAAATATGGAGCAGCAAGGTACCAGAGTTTGAGAGAGGAAGGGTGGGAGGATGATAACCATGAGTTGTTTGATTACAACTATTAACACTCAGAATTTTTTGAGAATAGGGAAAAGATAATATATCGTTCGCAAGCGCACATAAACTTCAGTCTTGCCTCTTTTTATTTACTTCTTGAGTTGTGAAGTTGTAAGGATGAAAATTTTGTCTATCAGCTAGATTCTTGGTTTCAGTTGTGGTCTTCCCCCCCTCCCAAATTTCTAATTACAAAGCAGATCTGCATCTAAAATGATGATGATACTGCTGTTGGGAGATTTGTGACATTCTGCTTGAAGGAAATGGCTGTGTCCATTTTTAAAAGGCAGAGAACCATAACATTATAGAAGATCATTAGTATAAGTCATTATATAAGTCATTAGTAGGCAGGATTGCCAACAGGTTAGTAAACGAAGCATTAAAAATCTCCCCTCATTTGTTTGTCAAAGAGATTTACTTTCATGAAAGTGTTTGAATATTGTTGGTAATTACAGAGAGATTTAGTGTGGATAAGCTCTTGAAACTTCGAATACAAATTGCAGTCTTAGTGAATGCTGTTCACTCCTTCACCAACAGTACCTTCCCAGAGGTATCCAACATCTACTTTCTGTGTTTTGTTCATAGAATCATAGAGTACTTTGGTTTGGAAGGGACCTTAAAGATCATATAGTTCCTAATCTATTAAACAGTAATAGAAGCAGAAAAGCTCCAAACAAGACATTTGGACAAAAAGTAATATTATTTCCAAAGATAGTTTTATTTGTCCGTTTACTAAGGTGTGTGCCTGGAGTCTTCTGCAGCCAAACCTTGCTTTTATTTGGACATTTAGTATATGGGCCAGTCATCCAATAAATATTAAGCCCTGAGTACATTTATTTAAATTCATGTTGGATCAATAGCAGAAACAACTTGTTTTGGCTCTTTCAGATAAAACCACAGAGTTTAAAATAAAGTGGTGTTTTTATTCCTTGGAATAAAATTATGCTTAAGCTTGCAGTTTTCCCTTCACTTTAAGTAGAAGTAGGTGGAGCTTGCTGCTGGAACAGGTGGTATTTTCTTTTCCATAATCTGTAAGTTCCTGTGGCCTAGGTTTTGAAACAAATAACTGTTCTTGTGGAGTAGATCCAGGCATTTATCTGGCTAAAAAAATAACACCACCAAAAGAAAAGTTCTCAGTCAGACCAGCTCCATTATCTAATTTGACACTTGGAAAAATGAACATAAAGTGGCAGAGCAATGGCGTGTGGGTATTGGGCCTTTAGGGGGGTACTACTCTTTTTGGTGGCAGGCTGTATTCATATCAGGTGACAATGACTTTGAGCCAGAGCATGAAATATTGGCATTGCTATATAGTCAGATATAACTAGATTGAAATATGAGGCAGAAGTTAAGATTTTGCAGACCTGAGTACTGACATGTATTAAGTTTAAGCATGTCTTGAAAATTCCATGTTTGCAGCATGTTATTTTATACTTGTAGTAGCATAGAGTCCTTAAGATAATGGTGAAATATGTGTCTGAGAATTTAGCAAATGCTTTTCTCAGCCTCTCAAACAAAATACTAAGCAGTGGTACCTGAGACGGAATTTCTTGAGAGAGCAAAGAATCTGAACATGTTCTCAAAATGGTAACAGTGATCAAAACTAAGATGATATTTGAGAGACATTATCTACAGATTCCCTTGGTTGTGTATGATTGATTAGGACTGATTGCAATCAATTATACATACTGCATGTGTAATATGGCCTTGAAGCAGTTTCTTTTCTGAAAATTGACTTTGCAGAAATATTGCTTTATTACTCATGCTTACAACCTGAATGTATTCAAAAAGCATGTTTGTAATAGTGATAAAATAACACAGGTATCAAAAATAAGATAGATTATTAAACTTCAAATACAGGGATAATCAGTTGTGTCACTACAAGTTCTATCAAAACAATTGAGTTGTGTAAATCCCACATGAAGACATAGCTTGAATGCCACTGGACTGCTGAAGGATCAGTAAGACCAAAATATTCAAACAGTGAGATAGGACAGAAATATTTTGGCTTGCATGTGAGTATGTCAGAAAGGAATTTAGCTTCTTTTTATCATTTAAAGATGACTTTGTAGTCATCTAACTGGCTGTTAGATTTTTTTTTTCTCCCCATATTTAATTTGGTAATCATTTGAAAATTATAAAAAACACAAAGTCCAGGTTTAAAGCTGCTTCTCAGGCAGAAGTGCAGAATATTTGTCTGTAGAGCAGTCTCGTGAAAATTATTGTATAAATGTTTCTCTCACTTTCTGTGACAGGTTTTTCTATTGAAACAAAACATTTTCACACATACAGACCCAAAGCAATGATTTTAAAAATACTAGAGACAGTCCAGAAAGAGGAATAGACAGTCAGTAGTCTTTCTTCCTTCTACAAGGCTGGTGAAAGTGTCCTAGATAAAGTATTGAAGTAGTAAGACTCTCCTATATAAAATCAATTTTTTTCCAAAAAGAAAGTGTTTGACCTCTTCTAGACACATTCATTTTTGGTGTGTCTATTTTACAATCTAATTTAATCCAAGTTATAACTGGAGGCCATAAAATTTTGTTTCACTGCAGTAGTCTTACTAATGCTTTATTTTTTAAGGACTTTGTTTGGAAAGCTGAAGAAAAGTGAACCCCGATCTTTGACTGTCCGGTATAAATGTTCCTTTGCTTCTAATTGCTGAAATCTGAAGTCTATTCTTAGACGGGTTTTGGAAAACCAATTTCTGTTTGTATTTGAGGTCAGTTATCTCTTAGTGGACAGCCACTGCAGACATCTTCCAACTTCTGTTTGGGTTTAGATGCCTCTCTGAAAAACAAGGTTTATTTGTCTGTTGCTTAGTTGTTAAAAGAAAGCATAATATTAGTTAAATCATGTGCTACTTGTTGCATTTCCTTAGTTTGACATTTTAGGGATACTGCATGAAATGACAAGAGTAACAAGCAACTTGGGATATTTCATTGATAAGATGCTGCATTACTATTTTAGCATTCTGGGAGAAGTTAGCTATATCATTGCTCTTCCTTTTAGGAAACAGTTTGGGTTTGGTGTTTTCATCTCTGAAAAAACATTGGATACTTATGTTTTCTTCAAGATACTGATTCCACAGAGCAGCCTTGTTATGGGCTAAAAAAACTTTTCGGATAGCAGTAGTATATTTTCTGTTCAAAGGTTTGGCAGTGTAACACAAAGATATAATAATTCAGAACATTTTGTACTACCAAGTTTACATGTAAATCAGCTGGCTGGTAAATGTACCAGAAACTCTTGACATATATAAACTCTTCTGATGTGTGAACATAATGCCATATTATACTTTTGTAACTCTGCAGGTATAATTGTGCTCTTCTCTTCTTCTGTTCTCCCAAGTACAGTAGCTTTAATTGCATTGGATACTCGAAATAGCAGTATTCATAGAAGAATTTTCAGTGGAATACCAACAACTGCACTCTATGCACCTTTGTGTTTACAGTTCCTTTATGATGAATGGCAATGCCAATTGTAAACCAAAACTTTTCTCGTACATTAAAATTGTTTCCTTCTGTCTTTGAAGGTTACAGAAAGCAGATCAGACCTTGAAGATTTACACCTTTATGCAACTCCTCGGGAGCAACGGTTTCGTATGTTTGCCAGTTTAGAATTTGAAGGACAGCTATATATGACTCCACATGACTTCATTCAGGCTGTTACAAGTGATGAACCCAAATGTAAGCAGGAGTTTTATGATGATAAAATTGCTAGGGAAAATGTCAGCAGTGTATGTTATTTTTCCATTTGCTTTTGGTTCCTACTTCTGTTTCTGACTGTAGTAGAGAGATACTGCATCTTCCACATTTTTATTTTTAATGGTATCCAAGTGCATACAATCAGTATGCTTGATTGCTACTAGATTGCAAACATCTGCTATTAGTTTAACTTTCTTCTCGTAAAGGTCACAAACAGCTCAATAGTCATGTAAGACAGCAAGTTGTGTCATTTCCATGGACACAGTTCCTTTCAGAGCAGGCCAGTATTGCTGTAAACTCTTGCTTCCTTCTCTTTATAGTTATTCTATAAACAGGCAACATATGAGTTCTCTAAATAACTTAGGATAACATTTTTTTGCGAATGTTGCCATCTTAAATTCTCATCTGCTGTCCTGTTGGAGTGTTTTGCCCCACAAAGGTTCTCTGACTATATCACAGAGTTCTAAATAACATGCTTTGACTGAGAGATTCAGTCCCCTGGGAGATCCACTTTCTACACTTTAACATTGCCAGAGTTAGTACTATGTGTTAGTTAAATTAATGAAAAATCAACTATCAACTTTAGTTCATTTATTGTAAAATCTCTGCTTTAAGTATCAAAGAGTGACTGATTAGTAAGGTGATCCCTTTCAGTTCTAGTTTGATTTCCTGCCCCTCAGGTTTGCAGTGCATTGGTAGCAGCACACAACTTCTGGGGAATGTGAATATCTTTGCTCAGGTGTGACATGTGTGATCACTCACCTTGGGTCTTTCTTCATGAAGTCTACACCACAGAGCTAGTATAGAGAACAGTCAAAAGCAGCACTAAAACAGTCAGAGGAGAGCTTAAAGCTCTGTGCAGATGTTGAATTTTTTCCCTTTGTTCTCCTAACAGTAATGAAACAGGGAAAGAATTTAGCCATGGCACATCAAAACTTCTGTAACTTTTGAATAAAGATATAATCTTGTTATAACAGTGAAGACAGAGGATAGAACTTAGATGGGGAAAACTTGCAAAACTTTGAAACTCTTACCAGAAAGCAAAAATTTTATTTTTTTTTTTTTTTGCTTTGCAGTTAAAAGAGAGGAATCAGATTGCTTATCACATGATTTAATACAAATACACATCGATGATTTACATCTACTTCCTCTGCCCAGACCTTCAAATCTTCCTTTTTCTGTTACTGTGGAGTTGGGTTTCACTGTGTATGGTCATGAAGCACTTGTGCTACATGTGCTGGACATCAGTTAAACATTTGGTTTAACTCCATTTTATGACAGTTTGACTGGCTTGACCACACTATATGTATGGTTTGCTGTTAAAATTTTCCCATGCTAACAAAATTTATGCTTTCTCCTCTATCAAAGCAAGTATTCAGATTTTAAAAACAAAACCAAACCAAAAAGCATTTAACTCACAAGGACATTCTGTTTATCTCATTACAAAGGAGAAGAGATCTGAGATCTGAACAGTCAGGCACCCTTCTGAGTTCAGTGTAGCAAACCTTGTTTGTATCAAAATCCTTCCTGTGCATCCAGTTCACCTCTGAGACCAAAAGCAAAACTAACCTGGATGTTCTTTAGATTTTTAGACTAATATCAGAGACTACATGGCTGACAATTATTTTAAGGGATTGTAACTAAGCAGAAGTGGATGACTTCATTATAGTGGAAGTCATATTGTCTGGGACATTTGGACAGAAGGCTGATAAATAGGAATAGGTGAAATAGATGACCCGCAGATTACCACTTCCAGCTTCTCATACCTGACTGGGATAATTTTAACCCTTGTTAAAATTATCAAAGTACTGTCAAAGCATTGTCAAAGTACTGCTTTGTCTGCTTGAGCAAGTCTTAATTTTCTGTCTTGCTCTATTGAAGGCAGTGCATTTAAGGAAGGTGTTTTTCAGAATAAAGTAATACATTCTAAACATCTTATTTTGTATTTTTGGGGTCATTGTATAAATATGTTGCAAGTTGTAAATAATTGGGTCCATTCAGGCTGACATACTAGAGCATCTATATTTTGCATAAGGAAAAAGAACATAGACGTGGGAGGTTTTATGGATGAAGACTAGGAAGGTCTTGGCATTTTTTCTTTTTTGACAAAACTCCTTTGAAGCATAATAATAGTAGCTCTTTATGTCTCCTTTATAGAAAAGCTAATAATACTAGACCTGAATGAGATTCGTGATGGAGTGAATGCGTCTATTGTGATTGATTTACTTTGGAAATCATGTAAACCCTACAAAAGTCAAGAGGGTGTTCACTTCCTTTTTTGATTAAACACTAACTAATATTATAAGAGTATATTTTCTCTTATAAAGTGAAGCTTTTTACTCCAGGCATTTATTATAGAAAATAGAAAATAAATGCTATAATTAACTTACTGCTGTCTTTATGGTGCAGGCTTTCATTTGGGAAAATATAATATTTTTAAGAGTCAAGCTTGATACATTCGTATCAGCCAGTTATGAGAAGAGGAAATATATTTTGTTCCCTGTAGTGCTAACTACAGTAATTTTAGCCTTAGCTGTAAGAAGTATGAATATACACTTAGATCTTCACTGACTTGTCTAGAAAGAAAATACGTATATAATGTATGAGACTGAAACATTATCTGATTGGAAAATTAGATATATATATTAGATATAAAATTATATATTAGATATAAGTTTTATATATATTAGATATATATATTAGATATATATATTCTCCAATCCATATATGAATTTGTATGGTAAATGAGGTCGTTTTGGGGGAGTTTATTTAGTTTTCTGAGACAAGACTATAATTGAATTTTAAAAAATAAGGTGAAAAGTATATGAAAATCTGTTAGCTTGTGTTATGATGTTGTTTGATATAACTCCCCCATAGTTAGAGTGGGATTTGTGGACTGCCTTGGTGCAAACCTTTACCAAGATGTAAAATTAATTTCAGTCAGTTTTTAACTATGAACTAATAAAAGACTGTAGTAAGTAGCTTCTGTATTGTGTTAATTATTTAATGGAGCATGGGAAAGGGATTTCTAGTACCACAGTGTGTTTTGCTCTACAAAAAGGAGCCTTTACCCACCAAAAATTTATGGATTTGATCACATGCAATGCTACTTTTTGTACCCTTGTGAATTCTGATATTCACAGAGCCGTGTCTTAATATTTATTGCATCTGTGCAAATATTTGTCTTGAGAGGGTGGGGATAGACCTCAAGTTTTGAATTCTTGAATGGTTATGGACAACTCTTGTTGAATATGAGTATTTTCCTCTGTGCCTGGAGTTAAGATGTTAGGAAGAAAGGATCTGGTCAGTCATAACCAGTTTTCAGTGCTAATGAGCAGTTCTGAATTGGAGGCCCTCTTCAGCTCTTCTGTTATAACTTAAAAAGAATTGAACCTGACAGAGGCTGTAAAAGGAAGCATGAATCTGAGTTACTAGGAAGAGCTGAAGAGGGTCTTAGTGCCTGGTGTAGTTTTAAGGACTTTTTTTTTCTGTTTGCTTTAAAATGTATCAGTGGTCCCTGAAGCAAGGGCCAGAATTTAGGTCTCCCTACAATCTGCATTGTAATACTACTGCTACTAAATAATCATTTCAGAATATTGAAAGCTGAAAACAGGAAACCATTTCCTGTTAAATGTTTTAAGGATGTATTTTGGAGGTTGAAAGTCTTTTCTCTCACTGAAGCAGAGTTGGATTAAAAACTATACATCTGAATTGTTTCTTTAAAGTTAGGACTTCGGGTATGTATTAAGCTAATTTTTTTAAAATAACATAAAGAGAATTTTTTTGGAAGCAGGTTAAAGGTTATACTCATGGAGTAAGGAAAATACTACTTCTTTGTCTTGAAAACACAGTGTAATGCAGTCTAATTTTTATGACATCACATTGGCAAAACTAAATGCTGTGAGCTCATGACTTTATCTTTTGTTGCAGGTGCTAAAAAATGGCGATCCCTTTCAAAGCAGGTGGGCATTAATTCCTGTGTGTCTTATAACCATATATTTTGATAGTTACTTTCATTCAGTATGTAAACAGAGTCACAGGAGAGTTTAATTTCTTCATTGTTGTCACTTCAGAGTCAGTGGAATCCAGAATCTCTGAGATGCTTTAGCAGTTGTGCCTGTTATTTACTGAATTCCTCTAGCCTTTGGCAGTTGCTTCCTCAGTCCATATCTGCCTGCATTTCTTAGTGTCTAGGTGTAACAGGTATATCCCAAACTGACTGAAATACTTACGCCACTCTCTCCCTTTTTGTGGTGTTTAAGTGCCTCTTACTTTTGTTTTTCCCCCCACATTTCTATAACTGCAGAAGCACTCTGTTTCCCTGTATTTTAAGGAAAGTACATTCATATTCATGGGTGAAGTTTGCTTTAGTTCAGGCTGAGTGCTTTAAAAGAACAGTTGCTTGGATTTTGTATGAAGACTTTACTGAAATGCAGGGAAACTTATCCTTGGCTTCACTGAATATGATCAGTAGTGAGTAATTCCAGCCACAAATACATTGCATTCATGCAGATGAGTAATACTTGCAATAATTGTGTGTGCAAAATTTATATGGTGCTTGAGTTCTTTCAAAATGATTGTGGTAACTGCAGTTAAATTAACTGGTAATTTGCTTGCAGTTTCTTATCTTTTATATTGATTTCCTAGAATTTACTCGTAATGTGTTGACTTCTTCATTAAATATTGAAGTATATGCTTTTATATTTTTTAAATCTTATTTTTTAGGAACTGAATCAGATCCTTATGGAGACACCACCAGTTTGGAAAGGATCATCCAAACTTTTCCGTAACCTTAATGAGAAAGGTGATTGATTAAAACTTATTTTCCTGAACCAAATTATCACTGTATTAATTTGTTGTGGTTAAAGTGAAGTTGTACTTTCATATGCATCACAATTTCAAAAAAATAAAAAGTTTGTCCTTGCTTTCTCCATTTTACAGCATGGAAAAATTCCTTTTAATCTCTACAGTGTTTTAATGATGCCATCTTACAGCTAGCCTCTTCAGGTGAATTTGTGTCTTAGAGTTTGTTAAACTCATGTTGAATGTTTCAGGTTCAGTTTGTTGCAATGAATGGTATATAGACAGAGTATTTTAATAAAGACACAATATCTGTTTTTTTTAATAAGTTTGATAATATGATTTATTTCCAAAGATGGTATTGTATATCACCAAATAAGCATTTTGCACACAACACAAAGTGACAATTTCAGAAATGCTATACGCCCCTTTAAGTTCTGCAGATGAGGGCTTTGATAGCTTTTATAACTCACACTATTGGTAAATGAAGAGCCAAGAGTCACTCCTGGTCTCCTCTTGTTTTTTCTTTCTTAATAAGCTCTATCAAAACTTCAAAACCAAAAATATAGAGTGTAAAAAACAATGATGGCTTGTACAGACATTTAAAAGCTATTTATGATAAATTATCCGCATATTTATTTACTTATATTCAGAATGGCAAAGGTCTGGTGGAGCGTTTGAAACATTTTTAAAAGCAGCCACAAGTACTTGCTATAAAATAAAGACAATTTATGGATGTTTAAAATAACTATGCCAGCAACAAAATTCCAATCAAATGCAGCTCAAATTTATTAAAGGACTAAGTAGTATAAACCTACTCTCAGAGGAGGATCCTAGGCTTGAATCTCTAGTGCATGAAGGCACTCCCTTTCTTTTTCTCAGTGTGCAGCCAGAACTCTAGAGAAGCAGAAATTGGCACATCTTTGCACTGTATTTCCATGTATTTCTTTGCTCTAAGATGCTTTCTATATAATCTAGTTGACTTTTGGAATATCAATTGCATAAAAATTCAACCTCAGAATCTCTTAAATCAATACATTATCAGTTTTAAAAAAACATGTCTGGATGTTGCTTGTTAAGCCTGTAATAAAATGTCTGCAATATGCACAGCCTTGATTCAACAGTATCTTACTCCAGTTTTCTGCCAGAGAAGTTCTACAGAATTTGATGGAATTAGGAGGACTCAAAACTGTCATAACAAGCTGGTAAAATTAGTAATAAACTTTAGCAGTTAGATGTTTTTTCAGCATGCTTTCTAAAAAAGTGAGTTCTGTTGTCCAGTTTTATACATAATATGAGAAAATATGATGGGTCTTAGGACTGATAATGTCATTCAGTAAGCCAGTGAAAGGAATGGGAATAGAATTCAACTCTCCTTAATTCTAATTTAGTTGGTTTTTTTTATTTATTACTTTACTCATTTTATTTAAAACATGCACATACGAAGCAAGTAGCAAAAGCCTATGTCCATTTATTTTCCCTTGGATTTATTTAATTCAGATAAGCCACACAGATTTATGCCCATTGTCCTTAAGTTTTATTATGTTTTATCCTTGAGTGCCCTCCTTCTCTTCTTTCTGACCATAGTGTAAGCTTTTCTTCCCTTCAATCATCATTTCAGAGCCTCTCTCCCATAACACTCAGAGCAATCAACCAGAACTATCTGTCTGCAGCTACAATACACCAGTACAAACAAAAGGAGAGAATACTTTCAAGACTTTTGTATTGCTCTCTTCATACTGTGATAGACTACTTGACAATTGCATTTTCTTTCTCTGTTTTACAACAAAGAAGGTGTCATCAAAAAGCCAAAAATACATATTTACATTTATTGACTGGTCATTAAAGGAGGTTTTACATCACTGAATGAGAACCTTTGAGGTATATGATTTCTTGATAGCAGGTCTTGAAAACTAATTTGTGCAAGCTGCTGTATAAAATCTAGAAGATAAAGCATAAGAGTGTGTACTATTTAAATGCCTTTATTTAATCTTTGCTAGTCTTCAGTGTGGAGCTATGTGTAAACTGAGGAAAAGAGTAGGTGGTATTAAAAATGCTTAGTAACTTTCCTAACTAGATCTACTAGTAGTAATAAAATCTTGGTTGTGAAGACTTAAATTTGCTTTTGGATCAAAAGATGGGAAATGAAGTATAACGGAAGTAAAATCCACATGAATGATACAATGTTTTGAGTTTTAATTGTACAGATTTTTCAGTGTAAAAAAAAGTTCAGATGACTATTTGCATAGTTTGTCACACACTCAGTTAAGTCAGATTTTAAAAGATATTTAAACATCCAAAGATTTGGCTGTTTTTGGAAAAACTTTTGCACCTGACTTGGACTGAAATCAAGGAGACAACCAGCAACTTCTGAAAATCCCAGCTGATAGACATCTTTACTCTCAGGCATCTAAATACTTTTTTTTTTTCTCTTTTGAAATAGTCTAATATTGTGGACTGACTTAACACTTCTGGTTTTGGAGGGCAGACAAAATCAATTTGTTAGAAATAAGGAACATGTTTTCCTAGTTCAGCCTCAAAGATCACTGGAGCTAAGGGCTTTTGGGGGAGCTGCACGTCATTGTTTTCAGTTCTTATTGAACTGTAAGATGCTTCTCGTTGTTGCCGCCGTGGGCATTTTGAAAAGTTGTCTCTTTTTACCCCTTACTTCAGAACTAGAAAAGCACAAGTACAGCTTATGGTACCAGACATAGCATTTGGGGATTGACTTCAGGTCTTATTTAAATTTTGCCTTAATCGCTTCTGAAGAGAAAAGGAAGTACCATTCTACACTATGATTCCCTTTTGACATCTTGTAAAAGATGAAAAGCCTAGAACATATTCCTTACAGGTCTTCTGAATGTAGAAGAAGAGTACAAATGTCTTTAACAGGCTTTAAAAATATTTAACAAGTTACACATATATTTACTAAGAGTTTTAATATAAATTTCTGGTAATTATTATGAAAAGGTTCATACAAGGTCGACTTAAAAGCTAGAATCTGCGCTTTCATAAGTAATACGAGACCAAGTTTTCTGTTAATATAATGCACTTAGAAACCACATATTGAAGTCAAGAACTGTATTCAAATGGGATGTATCAGGAGGGAGCACTATTAATGTTCTCCAAGTAAGTCTTTTCATATTGTTAGAGAGTGTTGTCATGAACTATTGGTGGGGTTTTTGCAAAGAAAATTTAATAAATCATTTATATTAGCTTTTAGGAATCTATCCGGCTTCTGTTTAATGAGCCATTCTCCACCGACTCTAGTTGTTTATTTGCCATATTTAATGTACTCCTCCCCTAAAATACTAAAAAACAAACAAAAAACCCCACACTCCAGTTCAATATTTTAGACAAATAACTCATTTAACAGGTTGAATACAGTTATATGCACACAAGTATGAGTATGCATATACACACGTACAAAAATTCTCCTTAGACATAGAATTAATGGTTTCAAGTTTAGGATATAAAGATAAAGTGAAACTAATATGACATAACTTTTTGTTTTGTCTTCAGGTGTGATATCTTACACAGAATATTTATTCCTCTTATGTATTTTAACAAGTAAGTATTTTTGGAGAAAAAACTCTAAAAGATTCATTACAAATTTCTACTCTCTGAATGTGTTGCTGTATGTTAAAATATTCTTACCCTTATCCCGCATATTCCAGTATTGAAAAAACTATATCATACATCTCTACGTTCATTTGAACCTCTTTTGCCCTAGTGGAATATTGTGTTACGTTTATTGAAATGTTGAGGAAGCCAAACTATACACTTCAGCTAAAGCCCAGTTAAGAGCTTAAGTTTATTTTCTTGTTTGAAATTTCTATAAAATTTCAAGCTAAATTTGCTGACCTTCATAAGGGACACTGAATACAGGGAGAAGAGAAGGATACCCATTATTACTTGTTTCACCTATTAGTGCCTGATAGGTAACATCAATGAGACAATAATAAAATATAAAGTATTTATGTTAGAAAACACTAACAAAATTGAATAATTCTGCTTTTATCACCCATAAAACTGAATTAGAATAGAGTTAGACTGAACTGAGCCTGATACAGACTTTGTTTTGATATTTTGAGATGTGTTTTTTGGGAAGGAGCAAAGAGTTTTATTTGTCTTTCATTTGTATGTAATTAAACCATTTCTATTGGATTCATAGTGGGTTTTCATCAGACATGATCTGGATTCCTGTTAGGAATCAGAGCAGGAACTTGACCCTGAACTCATCTCCAACTCCAGCTCAATGGATATTCTTCTGTCACTTCTTTGTTACCCGGGTTAACTTTTGGCCATAATTCATCCATATTTCAAATCTCTGAGTGTCACCAAAATGTTGCCGAAAGGCTTCACTTCCAGTTACCTTCAGAATCCCCATGTTTCAGAAATAATTTAAAATTCTAACGTGGTCTCAAACTTCAATGGCTCTAAGCATGTAAACAAGAAAATGCTGGATGTCTTTCTGCATAGCATTTATTTTGATCAGAAGCTGTTGGATCCTGTAACTTTTTTGCAAAATCTTTAAAAGTGTCTTTTTAAAACACTGTGTTTTAATAGAAAATGTATTTTCTACAAATCTGGTTTTGTAACATAAAATGGATTCTGCCTATGAACAGTCTTAACTATCTAACTAGCCATTACTGTGAGATATTATTCTTGGATATTTCATGTTCTGTTTCTACTCGTGAGCACGCCTTCTGTTGGCATAACACGGGTAATGCTGTTTTACAGATGGTACGATTTGCATTTACTATGTACACAAATGTACTGATGTACATTAGCTGAGGGTATGGCTTTTATAAATGGACATTGAATAATTCTCTAGAGTTTTATATTTGCTTTCTTTCCAAGTAAATAAATAATTGAATGGGATTTTTTTTGGCAGAGCCACATGCAGGTTTTAGAATTGCTTTCAACATGTTTGATACGGATGGCAATGAAATGGTGGACAAAAAGGAATTCTTAGTGGTACGTATATTTTCAGGTTTTGAAGTAATCTTGAAACAAATGTGATGGTGTCAATAGTTATGAGCATACAAGCTATTCTTCACTGAGTGCAGTTGTTTATTTGCCTTATTTAATATAAATGGTTATTATAATGTTAATTGAAAATAGTAACTCCTTCTTACAGTGCATGGATGTGTTGTATATAATGATTTTTTAAGATTAATTCCAGTTTTTATTCTGTATCTTTTTAATTGCTTCTACATTCACATATAGTTAGGCTATTAAACTAATATAGCTGTATCAATTGTCAGCAGAGTTACTTAATTGCTATAATCATAAGGGACTTGCAAAAGAATCTTTTCCTGGGAGACCACTTCACTTTGCCATTCATTCTGCTGATAATTTCAAGTAACCTGAAAATACTGACTGACATAATGGGACACTATCACCTGTTTTGGACAAGATTTGTAGTTAAATAAAACATATTGTACATATATCTAGTTCAGGTTTTTAGAAACTACCATCTAAAATTTTGTGGTTAGTGATGTAAACTGCACAAAGGCCTTTGTTTTTTACTGAACAAGTACAGATGATTAATAAAATATATACAAGAATCGAATCAGATGCTCGTAAAAAAAAGACATTTGCAGAAGACATAAATTTTATCTTCACAGAGTTTTATATAGTTGAGCTTATAAATAAATACAGTAAATACACATGAGAAAAAGTCCACTGCCACACTGAAAAAGATGGAACAAAATATAAAGAACAAAACAGACACATGGAGTGTATTTAAGTGTGTGATCCCATTTTATTTAAAACAAAGACACCCTAATTTCCTGTGTGCAGTTTCATAATTGATTCAGATAAACTGTGCTAACCTAAAGAAAACAAAAATGTGAAAGAAACTGTGCTTAGTTTTAAGGACTGAACTTCCCTCAGTTCTCCTTTTCAAGGAAGTTACATCTGAGGTCTGGGGGCTTGTTTTCTGGTGACATAGCTTAAGCAGAGCAGGTGTCATTTATTTTGTAAGGTGAAACCACTTGCAAATTGTGGCATGCTGATAACTTTTTTGTCTTCTAAATTTAAATGTACGCATCCTTGTATGTGCTAATTCCTAATATACATCTCCAATTGGAGGAACAAAATAGCAAGCATTGGATTAATTAGCAAAAGGAAAAATAGATGAAGAAGAAAAAAAAAGAAAACTTCTAATGATTCAATAACACAGAATGTAGTGGAATACTGAAAACTTTTTTTGTTTTAAAAAAAGGACTTCCATCACAATAGCTAATGGGAGAAAATTAAAGCAGGAGGCTTCATCTTTCAGAAACTAATGCTAAAAATGAAATAAAATAAGCATGTGAAGTGGGAAGTAAGGACAACATTTAACTATGGATATTGCATCTTTCTTTCTAACTATGTTTTTATAGTCTCCTTCACATCCTACTATGTATTTACTGTCTGTCATGGTCCCTGGCAAAAAATTCTCCTTATACGTTTTCTCTTAGGAGACTTGGTGCATTAAAAAAAGAAAGGTTAATTTTCAAACATTAGATATACTGTCCTTCACCTATGATTGTATTTAACAAATTCATATAGATTAAACCTGAGCATAACTCTGCTTCATTAGAGTGTCAGTGACACTTAAAAATTAGTTCAAAACCTGTAAGTCAGAATGGTAGATCTGAAGTGAAAAATATTGAAGTAGGTAGGTAGATAGATAATGTTTGTGTAATTAAAAGTAAATTTGAAAATAGCAGTTGAATCAGTGATGCTCCAACTGTGATAGAGTTGACCCCAGAGCATACATTTGGCTTCTGTACTCACTTTGAATATGATGCGTCATACCCTCTCTGCCTGGAAGCAGGAGGCTGTTCAAAGGATACCATTTGAACTTGGTCCAGCATTTGCAAAGTATTTATCCATAGATTACAGGCAACTATCAACACAAAATTGGAAGTACAGTTAGTACTGTTCAGTTTTGCAAATAAAGAAGCTTTAAAGAGTTTTGTTTTGGGATCACATGTTGGGTGATTCTTGAGGAAAATAGTACATGTAGCGAAGAGTTAAAATTTTGATAATTTTTCTGTTAGCAGCTTTAGTGTTTTTGTAAACTAATTCCATGGTGTTTGTGCTTCCCTTTTTGCTTATGTAATAGGGTTGAGGTCAGGGAACAGACGTATTGTGTTGCCTTGTTACAGGAGATCCTGTTTTTGCTGCCTTCGGTAGTCAATCCCATTATCCTGTTTCAAACAATGTTCCTATGAAAGTACTCCTAGACCCTCTTTGAATTCACTTTTTTACTCACTGGTATCCTATAGCACCCTTTCTGAACAAAAGATCCATTTCCAGAAGTTTAGCAAGTGCTTTAATGATGTATGCAACAGAATCCTACTCCCTTTGCCTCTGTGGCAGGGAAAATATATCCAAGGATGCATTGCTTTTTACCAGTCTTTTTTGGTTTTTCAATTACTGCCACTCTTCGCTCCTGCTTGATGGCGTGTCACTTCACTTTTCACAAGGGACTTTCTTTCTACTTCTCTCTCTTCATTTAACTCTTTTCTTTCCATTGTTCTGGGTTGCAAACTGTGTAGTACTCTAGGCCATACAGCTAGATGTCCTGTCATGACTCTTTCCTTGTCAGCATAAGTTACAGTAATTTGGGCGTGAAGCTTTGCAAAAAATTAGAAAAAAATATCAAGATCTGTAAGTTTATCCATACTCAAAAATAGGTATAGTGACACACAAAATATTCTGGTCTGTATTTGCCTTATAGGAAATTCCAGAACACTGTAGTCAATTTTAGTAATTCATAACATGTTTTTTATAAATGTGTTTTGCTACTTAATCGCTAAACGCTGTATTCTTTTGTTTCAATATTGTCATACGCCTGCAGTAAAGCTTGCTGATCCCCTTGTCTTAGTCATCTGCCTTCTCTGAAATAGTGATATCCTGAAATTTAGTTTGGAAAATTTCCTTGCAAAATTTATCGCACACACTTTATGTTTCACATTCCGATCCCTGGGGAGCTGTGTGGATGCCATGGCAGTATCAGGTTTTATCAGACTCTTGGTAGGTAAAATCAGGTCTTTGAAAGGACTGCCACAACTGTGTCTGTATGCCATGGTGTTTGGTTCTGAAAATACCGTATTCCAGATAGGATGAATTTGTCAGCTGCAGTATTTATTCTTTTTTCAGCCCACTTAGAGGCTAACAAATGCTACAAGTGACAGTACAATATTTTCACCTGCAGTTTTTTAAAAACTGAAGTTTACTGGTAGAGATCTAGGTGATATCATAGTTAATACTGCACTCTCTTGCTACGAAGAGTAAACACTGTGACACTTTTTTCCAATGGTTTGGGAATATTAATAGGCATTACTATAAATAAAAAGATCTAAATAAAACAGATACTTACAAAGAAAGATAAGTACAAACCAGTTCATACTCTGAAGACTTTACAAAAATAAATATGCTCAAGAATCTGTGTTTGAAATCTTGTATTTGAGGTTTTCTCAGAAGTCATGTTTAAAGCTCTTAATGTTGAGATAGTTGTGAAAGGGGTATTTTACAAGACCTGGAGGTATTCTTTGAACAGACTTGAAAAAAAAGGGTACTTGATAAATTACTCTTGAGTAGTAGTCTGTTGCTGCTGAAGGGGAATGTTTCACCGTCACCAGGTGTTTCTACCCCTCCCTTGTGCCAGCAGGAGTTAAGAACTGATCAGGTTGGAAACTAACAGTATGAAAAAAAGATTGATCCAGCTGATGGTGTAACTACACAGATACTAATTAGTACCCAACAAGAAAGAATGTGCCTTGAGGTGGTGAAAAAGGCTGGAACTCCCCCTTTTTATATAGGTCAGATTGGCTAAATAGGATGTTCTTAATATTGTGCTCCCAAGTAGAATTGTTAGCCTTCCTTTGTGGAAAAAAATATTTCCTTTTTCCTTTCTGTGGGATGGTTTAAGTCACAGAAAGAACATAAAGGCATGCTATGAACAATAAAAGATCATTGAAACACCACTATTTTAGTAAAGAGCTACATTTTAATCCTGTTTGTAGTTTTCTCATGATGAAAGGTTGTTATACATGTGAAATAGCCTGAACAATAAATATGAATAAAATGGTTTGGTTTTTAGCTCCAAGAGATCTTCAGGAAAAAAAATGAGAAGAGAGAAAAACGAGGAGATGAAGAAAAACGTGCAATGCTGGTAAGTAAAATCAGAATAGTTGCAACTGGGAGTTGGTTTACTTTCTTCAATGTAGGACAAAATTGTGTGTGTATATATTTCAGTAATCACTATTTTTTTTCAAACACTAAATTCATATTGTTAAAAGAATATGCATAACCTTATATGTAGAAAAAAAGCATTTATCCTAAACTGCAGTTGCTAAAAAAAAAGTAAGTATATTATATAAAGGAAAAAATAATGTTTAAATGTGGTTATGACATGTTATGACAGTACCATTGGTTGCATTTGGAGTCTTTAAATCTAGGGAAAAGTGAATAGTAATGACCCAGTGAGAGATCTTGGTGACAAGACCAAGACTCTTGCTTTCATAACTAACTAAAGCTGTTCATGTAGACATACTGGTCTTGATGCTTGTTATCAATAGTTTTAAAATAGATTATGAAATATTACAAGTGAACTTAGATTCTATTTCCAAATTTAAGTCTTTACTAAATAAGGCTTATGACCAATGCAAAATATTTTCAGTTATATATATGAATCTGAATAGATTTTTATGGAATATTGGATACTCACATGATGTCAAATTTGCATTTCTTATGGACATAAGAAAGGTAAGTCAGAAATAAATGAGTCTGTGGTGGTTTGTCTGAAGGATGGCAGCAGTAGCAGGTACTTATTTTGCTGCTGGAAAAGTAAAAATTGGGTACAAATGTCTGTCAAGACCACAGCAGAACAAACGACGTTCATTTGCAATTTGCATATTTATGGAAAAAATTCTTTGCTATAAGAAACATTTTGACACATGCACGGAACTTCTCACGGTGTCCATTATCCTTTTGCAACCGTAGATGCTTGATCTCAGTTCTTTGTCCCTGAAATCATAAGAATTTTGAATTTCAAGAATTAATACTTTTTAAACCTTCCCACCCTCTCCTGCTCAGCTTTTCAAAATGCTAGGTCAGTTGTTGAATCTCACACACACTGTTAATTTTGAAAAAAGGAAAGGTACACACAAGGGAAGAGCTTTTGGAAAACATAAAGATTGCAAAATTGCACTTTTCTCCTGAGAGTAACTTCTACAAATCTGTACTTCTCTTTTGAAAATTTGAAGAATGAGATTGAAAATAAACCATTTTTTCTTCACTGTCATTTTGCAAACAAAAAACCAAAAAGACTAGTAATATAGAAAGTAAAGGTTTGCTTGTCTTAACCTATTTTGTTGTCTTTTTTTTCTCCCTTCTTTTGTCTTCATTCTGACGTGTGATACTTGGCTTGGCCCATTTTTGCTGTATGTCAGCGTCTTCAACTTTATGGATATCATACTTCTACTAACAGTGTATGTACTCTAATTATTTTCAATTGATGCAGTCTTCACCAGTGAGATAATATGCTATAAGAAAATTTACTGTATTTATCTTTTTCATGAAGTAAATTACTTCTGCTAATCTGTAAAAATGCGAGGGATCTTTACCTGTGTAAAAGATTGTGCATGCTCATTGCACACATTCTGAACAGGCAAGCCTACCAGAAGGAGAGGTTGTTCTCTTTATTTATATATGAAGGAAACAATATTTTTAAGGGAAAGTTGAAAATACATTTTAATAAATTATAGACTTATTTTTAATTAATGTATGTAAATTAAGTCATCCTGCATGAGTCAGCTGATTAAGCTCTGTCTTGTTTACTTGTGTATAATGTGAAGTAATAATTAGTCAAATGAATCCTTTACGTCTTTGTTTCCCTGAAAAACGGAACCTGAAGAGAGCTTTCCTGTTGTTGTGCTTCGCTTACAGAACAAATACATAAGAACTTCCACTGTTGAACTAGAATAGGATTTTACAGAAAATAGTCCCTGTATTATGTAGGTGACAGTAAACTTCTCTTCAATCATTTCTGAGAGGTGGGAGAGAGAATCAGCAAGAGAGAGATCTAAGGAATGTGCAGATTCGTTTCCTGTGAAGTCGAAACAAACAGTTTGGGCAATATGCAGGAATGAATTCTGTTGAATTAAAAGATGCAGTTGACAGGATGTTGTGAGAAAAATGTAGTAGAATATGTAAGGCCTTATGATTCAATGGATTTCAGATTAGGCCTTACTGCAGTGAAACATTCTGTACAGCAGTTAACATATTCTTGTGCTGCTGCCTATTTCAAACTGAAAACAAACTAGTTAGGCATTCTACTCATACAATAATTTTCAGCTTTAGTAAAAATCCTCCTTCTAGACTCCAGCCATGTCCAAACACTTTATCAAGATGATGCCCAGGTGTTCTCCATCTTTTTTTTGCCCTCCTACTATCTGAATGGAGATCTCCATGCAAAGGAAGCTAAAGTATATAGGAATTCACAGTATCCAATAAATCCCCCACCCCCAAAATTGATATTTTGGGGGGTTCTATTTCTCCTACTGAAACAAGAAGTGTAGCAGCCTTTTCAGTTTCCCTTGATGTCCCAAGGATTTGAAGATGCTCAGGACCAAGGAGATGCAACCCTAAAATTCTGGGCTAGTCCAAACATGCTGTGTTGGGCCCTTCTCCTCACTTTGTCTTACAAAACAATGCTATCTTTTTGAAAAGTGTTGAGGTCTGTAGACCATAGAAAGCATCGAATGACGTTTTAAATGGGATAAATATTTAAGTATTTTCATTTGCAAATTCTTTCCAGCCATGTTCTGGTGCATACTGCATTTGCGTCTAAGACCGCTTCAGCATGTATTGCATGAGTGCTTTCACTGGCCAAATGCCAACCAGAACATGATAATTATGATGAGATGCATGTAATGAAAATAAAATGTGCACACCCAGAAGTACTAATTCCATTGACTAAAGTAAATCTCCAGTAAGAGAACAAATTCAGTGAATACTTAAGATAGATAATTACAGAATTGTATGCATGAAAGAATGAGCTGCTGTTCATTCACAAGACAAGGTAAGTTTGATCATCAGACATGCAGTGTTTTCCTGATAAGTATGTTACTGTTGAAGTTGAACTTATTAGACTTATTAGTTGAACTTACTGCCTTTCTTTATTAGTGCAAGGATGTCATCCTGATTTTTGGATGAAATTATTTTTATATATGGTGATATTTATATTTTGATCAAGGACAAAACACATTTCTTAAGTTTATAAATTATTAATTTTGGGCAAAACAGAATTATTAGAAAAAACAACGGCAAAACGCTGAGTTTAAATGGTCATTTTCCTTTTAATAAATGTACTTTTAATAAATATTTTAATAAATATTTTCGCTTTACACTTTCTCTAATTTATTTTGTTTGGGAAAGTGGAGTCTGGTGATACTTTTGGTACCACCAAGAGTAATAAACAAGTAGCTGTGATAGACCAGTGTTCTTTCATTGTTATGTAACTGGGTTGAAATTTCTGTTTAGAAGCAAGAGAACGAAGCCATGCGTTTGAAGATCAATTGGAAAATATTTTAAAGTTTATAAGTGGTTTTTCTGTTGTTCTTTGTTTTTCAAACAACTGTGCTTCTTGAAACTGCAGGTTCTTAAAACAGAAGGAGAGGACCTTGTCCCCAGAAGCTATTGGGATACTTTGAGACGTAGCACAAGCCAAGCACTCTTTTCGGACCTTGCAGAGGTATAAGACAACCTCTGTCTCTGGTCCATAAACAGACTTCTATTTTATTTATTTCTGTTCTGATTATTTTCCTATTTTATGCACCTTGTTTCTTTTCTTCCTTTTAATTACTTTGTTTTTTAAACCTGAAAGTTCTCAGATAAAATGCATTTGATTCTGTGCAGTTCAATAATTGAAAGTTGTCATTTCCAAGAAAAAGCAAAGTTACCTTTTGAAAGAGTTGGAAGATGAAGTCCTCTTCAGTCCTCACTATAAGAAACATTTTCTAACACTAATAGTGATGGTATTTCACAGTTGGAGAAGTAATTTCAGAAACTTTGCCATTTAGACTTGGTCTAGTGATATGACAACTTTAATGAGACTTGCAGCCCTTTAAGTTTTATGTCCTTAATGCACTTTTTATATATGTTATCTGAGCCTATCTTCACAAAAAGTATCATGCAAAGATTGTTTTAATTATTGGAGAAAACCAGGAATGTTTTAAGGTAACCAAAACATTAGTCAATATTTTTCCATAGTGATTTAAATTCTAATAATTAATGTTTCATGATCTGCTTCCAGATACTTGGGTAAGACATTTATTTGTATCGATCATTTCAGAGAGTCAGAAAACTAGATCATTTAGGCTTTTCTGTGCCCCACGCAGTGAGAGTGATTGCTTTGCTGGTTGTGGCATTAAAGGACATACAGCAACTCCCCACTGACTCTGATCTCAAAGTCCCATGTTTCCTAAGCAGGATCATAATGAGAAAAGAACCAGGAACTGAAACATCTCCAGGGTAAAACAGTCTTTTTCTTTGGTTGGTAAGCAATGTGTGTTTCTTATTAAAAGTAATTAGTGTTTTGTCCCTGCTGTTCCTCTGCTGAAGCTATTGAATAACCTGAGGACTTCAAAGGACTTATTTCTAATTTACTGATAGGCCCTTTATACCAGTCTGTTGTTCCTTAATTTTCACAGGGCTTTTTCTTCTTTAGTGTTAATCTTCTTACTCACAGTTGTGTTTATAAATGTAGTCAGATCCCTCAGTTTTAATTATCATAGGCCAAACAAAATAAGGTACTTGATTTTTCTCTTAAGGTAAAACCTACATTTCCCAGGTATCAAATAGGCCTTTTCTGTATTTCTTTCTTCTTGTGTTCATTTGCCCTTGAACAAAACAAAATGTAGTTTACAGAATTGAGTTTTATAACAATATTTATAGGAATATTCATAGTAATAACACATACATAGTAATCTTGCAATAAAGCAGTATACCCAGTCTTCCTTTCCTTGCTTTTACATTGATGAGCTCCTGAACTGTTAGTCCAGTTATTAGTCTTTATTTATTCCACCAAATTTTAAAACCCAGAATATCAGTGCTCTTGTCCAGTCAGCTGAGAGAGACAGAGGGGAGAGAAGGCTGCTCTTTTCATTTACAAAGTTTGAGGCATTGAGTTTTCTGAATGAACTGTCATCTTAATCTGCAGTTAGCTGGCATGAATTCAGTCCCAAGTGTAGATGGATTTACATTTGGTAATGTCTACACACATTTAATTTGAAGAGAGAGAGGTTTTTTAATATCTGATGCCTCCGACTAATATCTATAACTACAATGTAATTGAAGCTTAACAGCTGCTATGCTCAGCATCAATTTCAGTTCTCTGTAAAGTGTGTAAAAAGCCTGTTTGCTCACTTGTAAATCATTTTATGAAGCAAAACCGTATTCTGCATTTTCTCCACTGACAATTTCCCACTTCTCACTATATTCATCTTTATCTCGTTTGGTTTAATTTTGAGTCAGCTGACTTTCATCCATATTCTTATCTCTCCCAGGTCCTCTTGCATCTGAATAATACTATAGCTTTTGTAGTAAGAAAGTGGCATAAAGCTCAGTAACACTAGAGTCTGTGTTGTTTGATAGGCTTTTGAGAAGGCGATGTGTAAGCTGAAAAAGAGTGTAAATAAAGTTTGTTGCTGTGGGAATCAACTGGAAATGTCTCTTTGGGGAGAAAAGTTATTCATCACTTCTAGTTTCTTTCCAGGACAGTGTGCAATACTGTTTCTGCTCTTACTAATTTAGTAACTACACCATCCTGTTAGAATATGCCACTTAGCACTGAATTCAGTTTTGGGGTTTATTCCTGAATTACTAAGTGAAACTGAAAATCAGTAGATTATTTATCATTATTGAAAAATCAAGAATTTGCAGTAAGAAAGCTCTTAATAAATAATATACATAATTATCAGAATATGTTGCTACAAGTGGAATTAATGCTTATAAAGTGTTACCTATTTTTTAGTCAACCCTCTTTAATCACAAGCTTGAAATTAACTTTTCAGAATATAAAATAAATATATTTAATGCACTTCAGGTTAGGAAATGGAGAAGATGTTGCTGTTATGCAGCAAGCCAATAATGTGATTGAAACACTTATCTCCTGTTTGTCTCTTTACCTGTATTTGTATTATGGTTAGCGTAAAGGTAAAAACAAATCAGCAGGATTTTATTCTCATTTTAATGACTGCAAAATGTATTTGATCAAAATTGAGGCTCATATTTGTGTACATGGAAACAGGCGTGGTCATTAAATTTTCACTGATCTAAAGTAAAAAAATTGTTTTATTATGAACAGTAAACAATAGCTTTAAATGATTAAGGCTTTTGGGTTTATCCTTACCATGTAAGAGAGCGAATTTATTTAATGCTATCAGTGCAGAAGGAGCACAGGAATACTTTTCAGTTGCCTGCAGTTCTGCAAAGAAGCAGAACTGGGTTGAGTTTCTGCAGCGACATTTTTGTTTGGGGTTTTTTCATTTAGCGAGGCCAAGCAAATGGGAATTGTGAAAAGACTTACAGATTGTATTTTTTTTTAAATGGTTCTTTAGATATGGGCAAATGCAACCTAAGTCTAAAGTTTTGAAATGTTTTTGCAAGATGAAAGGCTGTAATTTAACATTTGATATCTTTTCAGTGTACTTGAGGGAAATTGTTTGAATGTGCTTAGGGATTTAATTGCTTAAAAGACATAAGAAATCAGGGTATCTGCATTTCAGTATATTGTGTCCTGTAGTGGAGGATAACAGTATTAAAAGACAAATAGTGATTACTTTTCTGAATTAGTTTGCTCACTTGAAGAGCAGAGCTGCCTTAATTGAAGGGCATGAAATATCTCTCTGTCTCTATATACACTGTCATCTTATTTCTCCCTGGAGAAGAATATGAGAATAAAGAGGAAGGTAGGGTACATGAAATACAATCTTGAGAATACTAAACTGATTATACTAAAGAACAGAAAAGTCTCTCTCATTTCTTTAGATCTTGGATGGTGAAAGGAAAGGATTTGTGTTGTTACTGCCTCATGTTTTCCCTTGTTGTTGATATGTAAATACTCTCTTAACGGATATTGCATTTTACTTTTTTTACAAATCGGTATGTAAATTTGAAATTAATATAGTATATTTCAGAGACTGTAGATATGAAATGGTTTTTCTTGGTACATCATAAAATGGTTTTTCATGATGTTGAACTATTGTATATTGTTCAAAATTTCTTCCTGGTTTCTTCACTTGGAAGTGGAATTTCTCTATCTTATAAATTTATAGCCTCTTCAGTTATGAAATAAAGTCAAACTTACAGGACTCTGAGTGCAGCTTACAGGTTTATACATGCAGATCTTTATAAAGAGTTTTCTATACTTATGGTAAATCCCATAGATTTATAATCTCTCATTATGGTGATTAAAAATACTAAAAAAATAGTACTTTTACATCTCCCAAATACTTACTGTGTTCCTGTACTGTGCATTCTGTTTGGTACTGTAACACTAGAGTCATCAGAAAAACTTCCTGATCGGTGGTAGCTTGCCTAGGAAGAGCAGAAACTACTGTCTCCCACTCTTTGCTTTTCATAAAATCTTGTCTTTATAAGAAAAATGAAAGCTCAGACAGAAGTTTCTCTCTAAACCGGTGCAGTAAGGTGACTAAGTATATTACTTTTTATATTTCAAATGTTGGCAAATACCCATTAATTTCACAAGATCACTGCCATGTTGGAATACTATGACTTATTTGAGAGCCTTTTGTTACTGAATTATTCTTCTAGCTCTTCAGTATATCAAGAGTTTCTTTGTAAAAGAAGTAAAATCAATGCATGTAAAATGAAGTAAAATGCATGTAAAAGAAGTAAAATCAATGCAGTACACAATAGTTAAGGGCAATGAATATTTAGTAAAAAAAGTGGAATGCTGTGCAATCACTATACACAGATGATAGTTACTTCGGTTTGTTTTGTTCTGTTTGTTAGTTTTCTGTTTCATGTAACCCTCTGTTTACAACTCTTGCTATTACAAATAGTCGAAATCAGTTGGCTTTCTATTTTAATTCTGGCTTTCAAAGTTTTCTGTTGTTTATTAAGGAAAAAGTATTAATACATGTTCAGAAATTCCTGTCCTATGCAGAGAGCACATTGTCTGCAAATATGGAACATTCTTAGGAGAATGAGTCAAAATATTACTTCATTATTGTTTAGCCTGAAGAAGAGGAGGCTCAGGGGAGACCTCATCACTCTCTACAACTATTTGAAAGGAGGTTGTAGCCAGGTGGGGGTTGGTCTCTTCTCCCAGGCAGACAAGAGGGCATGGTCTTAAGCTCTGCCAGGGAAGGTTTAGGTTGGATATTAGGAAGACATTCTTTACAGAGAGGATAATCAGGCATTGGAATGGGCTGCCCAGGGAGGTGGTGGATTCTCCGTCCCTAGAGGTTTTTAAGATGAGACTGGATGTGGCACTTAGTGCCATGGTCTAGTAACCACGGCAGTGTTGGATCAAGGGTTGGACTTGATAATCTCAGATGTCCTTTCCAACCCGGCTGATTCTGTGATTCTATGATTATTTCAAAATGTCTTATGATTCTGGATTTTTAAATATGTTTGAGCAATAAAATTTAAACTGTAATATAATGTATACCTAATTGATGTGAGTGGTTTTGGAACACAATCCCATACTTAATACTGAAATAGAAAATAAGAGTATATGAAGTAACATCCTTTAATTTCTTTGTAGTTGCATAGGAGAAGGGAAAGGAGACTGTGTACAAAGGGAATTATGCTTATGGTTTATCTCAGCTGACAAGAATTTTTTTTCCTCATGAGTTTCTGGCTTTATTTTTTATGCTTTTTCCCCCTTCACTGCAGCTTCCATTATATTATTTGTTCATTTAAGTATCTTCTACTAAATGCAATTAACAGCTAATGCCACTTTTGTGTGAAAATTGCATGGCAAAGTTAATGTAATGGATTTTAGTACTAAAATCTTTTTTAAGACGATGAACATAAAATACAAACTCTTTCAATAGAAAGGTCTATTGTGATGATAGGCATTCTCAGATTATACTTCTGTATCTGATCCAATCATGACCTTTAATTTTTTTTATTCTAATATTTAAGCGTGCTGATGATATTTCAAGTTCACTGTCAGATACTACACTACTTGTACACTTTTTCGGCAAAAAAGGAAAAGCTGAACTGAACTTTGAAGATTTTTATAGGTGAGTCTTTATTAATTCCCTGTAAAAAAAATTTGCGTTGTTCTTCTAATTAATGTGTGTTATATTACTATAGACATAGCTTATGCAGGCACATTTAGAAGGTTTATGTTCCCTTTGTGTGTGTTATATATAAAAAGAGCAAAATAAAACAATAATTGGCCCAATAAAACAATAAAAAGTCATCTTCTAATGCTGCTATATTTGCAAATTTTGTTAACACTTGTGTGCATAATTAGTTTGGAGTGGAGAGGTTATACCCCAGCCCTGTCCTTATGGGTATGTAGGAACTTTTTTTTCTTGGTTTTGATTTATTTTTTGAGCAAAGATTTTCTGAAGATACCATGCAGGCACCTTAGATCAAACTTCTTTGGGTAGAAGTGAAAACACAGTGGAAGCAATTAACTTAGTTATTATGCCAGTAAAAGTAGAATTTAAAAATAGAGTGCCATCAAAACAGAACCATAAAACTGTGTGCTTCTGGATAATTGAAATAGATACAGTGTTTGGTTATTGCTCCTTCAGTAAATGCTCTCAATACCTATTGTCTTTATAGTTATCACTTAGCTATGTATTCCAATCAATTTTTATTTTTCAAAATATTTGACCTTAAATGAAAAGTCATGAAAAGTATTCAGTATTTCACAGAATATTAAAACTGTATCATCAAGTCAAATCATGATGTGAGTATAAAATTAAAAGCAGAAAAGAAGGTAATTTTTCAAAAGGCTAAAATGTTAAAATGCTACAGGTTTTGTTTGACAATCAGATGAACGTGAGCTCCCAGTGTACTACTGTGACCAGAGAGGTAATTTCCCCCTTTGTTGTATGACTAGGACATCAGACAGAATCAGGGAAGTTACATTTCCTTTTTGTAGGCAGCTGGTTTTATATTTGGTATCCAGTTTTGGTGTTCAGATTATACTAAATAGGTTGTTAAGTTGGGAAGAGTTTATAGAAATATCATGAGAATAGTAAAGTCTTTAATAAAAACAAATAAAATAAGGTTAGATTTAAAGGCTGCAAGATCTCATCATACTTGGCTTGCTAAAAAGACAAAGGCAAGGTTAAATTGCAAGCTGTAAGTAACAACACAGGGAATATATGTTGGGAATTAATTTAGTACCATGGTGGAATTTTGACTTTAAAATATACAAATAAAGATCAGTGACCCGCTGAAGAAGAAAATCAGACAAATAGAAACTAGAATTAAATTAAAAATGTAAGTATTAACTAATTTTAATCCTTACTAACATTTCATCATTGCGTTAAGATCATCATATTGACTAGAAAATACGTCGACATAGATAAGAGATTTACCATCAGTGCTGCAAAAAGAGAACTAATTTGTGTAGTGTTACTTGGTTCATATTCTACCAGTCTTTTAAGAACATGAAAAATAGAAATAGAAAGTATGACTCTTTCTTCATGTTTGTGCTTCAGATTTATGGATAACCTACAAACTGAGGTTCTAGAGATAGAATTCCTTTCCTACTCTAATGGGATGAACACAATCAGTGAGGAAGACTTTGCCCATATTCTTTTGAGGTATACAAATGTGGAAAATACATCAAGTTACTTGGAAAACATGCGCTGCAGTATTCCTGAAGAAAAGGTAATTGTTAGCAGTGGGCCACAGCATGCAGTCCCATTGTTACTAAGATGAAAACATCTTGTTGGACTGAATGAGATTCTGTCACTGAATTACTTAGTTCCAGGATTTTATACTGATTGTAAGATGTGTGTCTTGTTTTTCAGATTACGTGCTGAATAAAAAATAACATAGAATAAAAAATAGCATGAATAAAAATAGCATAGAATTGTGTTCCATAGGATTTAGCTAGTAATATTTTTGAAGTTTACATAAAAATATAGTTTAAATAACAAAAACCATACAACTTTAAAGAACAGTTTTCTAGCAATGAAGTATTTAAAAAACCCTTTCTTTCTTACTACTTCTTTTTTGCACTACCACTGGAGTAGCACCTCTTCAGAAATAACACTGACACCTTTTATCCTATTGTTTTATAGTCTTAATAATGGATCATTTGTGTATAATTATTGTTGATATGTGGTTTATATTAGTGACTGAAGAGACAGAAATGATAATATAAACAGTAAAAGACATGAGCTAGATAGTCCTTCATTTGTTTAACAACAAATGTGTCATCAGAAGTGTATCTGATAAGAAATGTAGTAGTAACTCTGCATCAGTGATAACCAATAGGATAATGTTAAAAGTAGCCCTTTAAATAAGGACTGTCTGGGTATATTCTGTTTGTGTTTACAGAAGGAGATCAGATTCCTCTGTCCTAGAAATCTAACTCTTCAATAGCTATATACTTTAATGGCATTGACAGCAGAGCTCATGAGGAAAAGTAATAATTAGGTTTGGACAGGTTTTTTTTGGTTTTGTCAATTTGAGAAATGAAATTGTAATTTCAGTCTTCACAGTAAGAACAGACAACTGACCCGAAAGAAGCACACTCAAGAATCAACAGTTTTCTGTTCAGATATCTGGATTATCTGACTCTTCCTGTGGTTGTACAGCAGTTAGGGCCGCTGAGAGATAAATACAGGTGGGGAGTGAAAGGGGGAAGCAGGGTTGTCTCTTTTGACCAGATTAGGCATAAGATGCAGTGGTAAGATTGGTGTCTGTTCCTGCTTAGTGGCCCTTTCTGAGTTCCTGGTCTAGCCGCTGAGGCGTTCAGTTCTACCTACCATAAAAGGTAGTATTCAGAGCCAAGATACTGCAACAGAACTGCTAAAAAGCTTTTTCTGTGTGGTTCCGAGACAGAAATGTGAAAAAAAAAACAAAACCACATCACTCTGGGGCTTGTATAGCAACAATAATACAAGTATCACTTGGAAAACTGAAAAATAATGACAGTTGTAGGTATAGAGAAATATTTTGAATGGCAAAGGTGAAGTTTAGTAAATACAAGTACAGACACTTTCTTTTGAACACAAGGAAGTATTCTTTGAAGGTTTTCTAAATCTTCCAATGTCACTGTCACTGTTCTGATAGCAAGTATTCCACAGTAGTTTCCTCTTCTTGACTTCTGGTGGGGCCATCAGTTAAGGAAAACTTCCATGTAGAAAGCTGTGTCATTAATTCACAGGTTTGCTTATGCTGCATTCTGGGAATATCCTGGCACAAGATCAGTGCCATATATCCGTATGTCATATGCTATACCTCCATTAGGTGAAACAAGACACTGCTGTTTTTCATAGCTTTGTATCACTGACTCAGTAAATGTGCTGTTAGTACAGTGAAAAAAGTAAATCCCTGTGGCATCTCTTATGCTGGCCACATTCTCATTTTGAGAATGGATTTTGCCTCTTATTGCCATGGAGGCGCTGTTCATGTGTTTGTACTTTCTTATACTTGTAATAACATTATAATTTAAAAATTATAAAATGTGCTCTCTGTGTTATTACAGTGATATGCTGCAATACTAATACTAACCAGAGGATTCCATTTAGAAGAAAAATTAGTTGAGTCTGTAAAGTAATAGGCAGCTACTCTCTCAGTTAGCGATGTTAATCTTTCAGGGCCCTGTATGATGAAGCTCCTAAAGCAACATGATGATCATTTGCCATATTGTAGACACATTAAAATATTCAGCTGGCATGCTGCCTGCTCTCAAGATGCCTTCCTCCTTTTACTAACTAGATGCCAAGCAGCGATTAATTTAAACTGGCATCTTGAATTACTACAGATATCAGCTCCTGAAGAAAGACTATGTATTTTTAGCAGCACTGGTGTGTTAATATGCGTTCTCCTTGCTGTAGTAATATATAATCTGTCCACGTAAATAAAAAGTTAGCTTCCTTTTTGTCATGGTTTAACCCCAGCCAGCAACCAAACCCCACGCAACCGCTCGCTCACTCCCCCACCAGCACGATCGGGGAGAGAATTGGAAGGGTAAAACTGAGAAAACTTGTGGGTTGAGATAGAGACAGTTTAATAGGAAAAGCAAAATCACGCATGCAAACAAAGCAAAACAAGGAATTCACTGCTTCCCATGCACAGGCAGGTGTTCAGCCATCTCCAGGAGAGCAGGGCCCCATCACACTTAACGGTTACTTGGGAAGGCGAATGCCATCACTGCAAACGTCCCCCACTTCCTCCTCCTTCCCCCTACTTTATATACTGAGCTTGATATCATATGGTATGGAATATTCCTTTGGTTAGTTGGGGTCACTTGTCCCAGCTGTGTCTCCTCCTAACTTTCCCTCCTCGCCAGTGTGGCAGTGTGAAAAAGGCCTTGGCTCTGTGTAAGCACTGCTCAGCAGTAATAAAAACATCTCTATATTAATCATCACAGTGTTCAGCACAAATCCAAAACACAGCCCCACTCTAGTTGCTGTGAAAAAAATTAACTCAGCCCTAGGCAAAACCAGCACATTTTTACATAGAAAATAAACATTTTTCAGTATGAAAGTTCTGGAACGCTTACACAAAGATAACATCCTGTGTGAAAATACAAAATGTGTGGCAAATATGAAACGTTATTACAAGTACCAGTTGAACAAAATAGGGTAGTAGAAAAGGATAGTAGAATGCTGCATGCCCAGCTGTCTGGGTGTCATTTTGCCTGACCTTCTGTTTCTCTTGTGTCCTTTGCTGTTTTTCCTTGAGAGGAAGTAAGCATTTATGATTGCAGATTATTTCAGCAGAACTTGTACAACTCCTAAATGAAGCAAGATATTTTCCTCATTGCTAAAATGTTGTGGAGTATGTACAGGTTAGCCATGGACTGCATGTTTGGCTCCTTTATCTCACTGTTTCATCTCCAGTGTCAACTCATGGCAGCAGTTTTGACCACGAGGGGAAACACAGAAGCTGCAAAAAGGCTTGTTTGTAGGAATTTCACAAATACGTGACAAAAGTATTCCAGTCCCAGAGAGTTTTAGTCTAAACTCAGTGCAAGAAATGGAACTTGGACACATAAACTATTACTGTCAAGTGCAATGAAACAAAAACCAGTATTGGTAGTAGTAAATTCAGTTTTTAAGATAAAAATTTAAATGAGAATAAGGAGGTGGTTCTGCTTGTGTCTAAGAGAGTTTCCTCCCAGTTGCAAAGGATGAAGCAGAGAACAAATATGCTTGTTGAGAAAAGCAATTCATGGTGGAGATGGGTCAAGCTCTCCAAACAGTTTATAAACCTTTACTGGAATTTAGGTAGGATCACTTAAGCAGGGATTTATATCTCAACTGTGTGGAGGCCTATAAAAGTCTTTTATTATAACAATATTATGTTGCTATCCACATTTTCCACAGTACTTGCTGTCTTATATGGGTTTACACCCAAACACTGCCATCTGCTCTGCCACAAACCTACTTTAGTATGTTTTCTGTGTTCCACCATACCATAATGACTATGTATGTATTTGAGGAGAGACACAGGTCAATATTTTAATTTGAACAGAAAGGCTCACAGGTCTTTCAGTTGTCTTCAGGTTTATTTTCAGAGGCAAGTACTTAAATAGGATAAAAGGATAAAAGCAAACAGAAAAATAGCCAGAAATAACAGTTAAAGGAGTCCGTGGAGATCAAGGTTTGACAAAGAATGCCAACCCATGTTCAGAATGGCTGAGACTAAGGGGATTCAGGTATAGGCTTAATTCAAAGTCTTATTTTAAAATCTCTTTCAAAATTGATTTAGAGATAGTGTATCGGGTCTTTGGATTTGTAGCTGAGAGAAGAGCAGAACAAATATAAGGAAAGAAGATAAAGTAAGCTCTTTTAACAATGTTTTCAGTGAAACTTTCAAAGAACATATTCTGAAGTCTGGTCAAAATGCAAAGGATTTTTTTAAAAAGCTGAACAAACTGCAGTACTTGATTCTTGGAGTATCAGCTGAAGAGACTTGCATGTTTAAATCTGGATCTGTAAAAAAATTCACCCTAAAGTACAGACTTAAGTTAGATCATAATATGTATTTGTGATTTCATTCAGTGTATTTATGTGAGCACATGCACTCACATATATGTAACAGTGGTTTGCAGGTTTTCAGTAGTAAACATACTCCAATATTGATACAAACCTAGACTTTATTGTCAGTATTAAGTGTTGTGTCATAATAAGTCCCGTAATTCTTAAAAACTGCCACAAGCAATGGAACAGTATTTTCAGCTGCTCTGGTGAGAACTGCTGTCCATTGCAGTTGCAAAGAGGAAAGACTCCAATTCTTTACTTCACTGCCTTTTACTAGAAATCTCTCTCTTTTTTTTTTAATAGGTATATCTGTTCATAAATGAAGTAGACATATATAACTGCAAGGTTTGTTTATTCAGTTGTTTCTACTACTGATAATTCTTATGGTGCATGTTGTTCTTCTGTTTTTTAGGGTATCACCTTTGAAGAATTTAGATCATTTTTCCAGTTCTTGAACAATCTAGAAGACTTTACAATTGCAATGCAAATGTATAATTTTGCAAGTCGTTCCATAGGTCAAGGTAATTATTTAAATTTTTATAAAAATCTCTTGATAACAATATAGAACTGTTGACAAAAAATGCAAAAATGTTTTGTAGTTCTTAGTTTGTACTTTTAATGTCTCCAGTAATAGGCTAAAAAGGACTCCAGCTTTGAGAGGAGAAGGTTCGGTCATATCATAAGAGATATTCTGCCAAGTCATATAAGTGGTGGATAAGCTGAATGCAGAATACTTGTTCATCAAATCCTACAATACAAGAGTTGAGGCACTTGATGACACTAGTAAGAGATCAGATTAAAGCAAACAGAAGCATTTCCTTACACAGTGAGCATCTGGAATCTGGTTTCTACAAAGGGTGCAGAAGGAAACAGTGTCAGAAGGTCTGAAGAGGGATTAGATTTTTTAAGAAATCAGTAAGTGGTTGCTAAAAGAACTAGGCATGTATGTACTGACTAAACTCCTTAATAAAATAGTTGTGATGCTTGGGGAGTGCAAGGTGAACAGTATGTGGTCAGACTTGTGTGCTCTCCTCAAGTAGCCTCTTCATGAGTCTGACACAGTAACACCAGCATAGTCCTACCTCATGTGTCCTTTCCAAAAGATTATATCATTTTCTCTGTTCTGTATTCCCTGGGTTCTGTTTTGTGTCAAATAAATAAATGCCATATATGTGACATAGATTTAATTACAATATGCTCTTCTATTTTTGTTATTGCACATAGTATAGTACATGAACTGTTATATTTTGTGTAAAATAGTTGATACCAATTAAGCAATGTCATTTTGTATCAGTTTAGAACTACTTGATTTAGAACTGTGAAATTCAATCCCGATTTTCATATTTTCTTGGTTTTTTGGTGTTTAAATGTGAGAACTCAAAAGTTTACTTGTATTTCACAAAATGTTGTCCACAAAATACCATTAACTTAATGGGTTTTTAATTTTTTTTCTGTTGTTCTCCTTACACAGATGAATTCAAACGTGCTGTGTATGTAGCCACAGGTGTGAAGCTTTCACCACATTTGGTGAACACAGTGTTCAAGATTTTTGATGTGGACAGAGATGACCAGCTGAGTTATAAAGAATTTATCGGGATTATGAAAGACAGACTCAATCGAGGGTTTAGGGTAAGGATTCTAATTTTTATATTTACCTTAGTTGACTTTACTACTTACCACTACTTTAGCATCTGTAGCACATGTAGGTTTTAAACCAGCAGTGCATGTGTTTAAAGACATATGTTTTATAGAAATACTGAAGCAGTCTGTAAGATAAAAACAAAATTCATAAATTCTTGATTTCTTTTTTTTTTTTTGTTAGAAAGCAATACATAGAGGACATAATGTACCTTTACCAAACCAAATCGTAGTTGAGTAATCCTCTGCATACTGTCATTTCTTCCGTATTGTGTGATCAATAGATTAGCATTAAGAATTTTAACCAGGGTAGCAATTATGTCTGGGTTGCCTGCAGAGAAAAGAGAATTTGCCTCTCTCAAGCTCACACAGTTTAGTTAAAGGTCAAACACTGGCTATTCTAAAACATATAAAATAGCAAGTGTTGATAATGACAGTTGGAAAGAGTTGCAGCAGAAGGTAGTTTTAATTTTCAAATAAAGAATCAGTGAAGTGGTGCTGAACAATGTTGTATTCTAGTTCAGAGCTGCTTTTGATAATTAAACCTTGCATATAATACATTCAATTATATTAAGCTAGAGGGCAGGAAATTACTTGCAGAAAATTTTCATAGGGAACAATGGTGAATGTGTAGGCCTTGCTGCCCTCTTCAGGTTCGATATAGTGCCAGGGGAATGTTATAGTAGCAGAAAATTTTTTAATTAGGGTATGATCAACAAAAGCCGTTTTTTATATATATGATGGGGTTAACATTTTTAACTAAACATAAAATGGTGTTCTTACTGACAACCTTATCACTCAAGACATAAATCTTAAGCTGCATTATGGTTCTTAGATTCACATTTCAGTATGTTATTTCTGTGATGTAATTTTAGTTATTTTAGTTAGCTTCCTAAATATAATGTTAGAACTTTTTGTGAAGTGGTGTTGAGTTTAATAGTTTACTTGTTATTTCTGTAATATTATGATCGAACATAAAATGTGGATAACAACCACTGCATTTGTAACAAACTTATTTCCTTGTTGGTCCTCAGTTCCTTTTATTATAGTGTGGGAATGATGATTGTTTCATAATCGTTTTAAGATGTTTGGCTATATGTTTTAATTGTTTACTAATTGTAAGTGTGCAGTGTATGGTTATTTAACCAGAAAATGGTCTGCTTACTAAGTAATTTTAGTATTACATGTTTCTATTTCACAAAAAGCATGACAGAAATCACATATAATCCTAAAAAATCTGTATCATCCAGCACTATTCTGTCTCATGTATGTATCTTTCTTTTCCCTAGACCTCCATAAAATATTCCCATGGACTGTAAAAGAACTATAAAGAATAGCCAAGGACATTCAGAAGAATAACACAGTCTTTCATAAATTACATGTCTAATTTTAATAAGATACTAAATACCTCCCAGATTGCATAGGAGATGGTCATGATTTGGTCCTCTAATTCTGTTAAATGCATTCTCTTCATTAATCAGTAGTATTCCAAGACAATTACAGTACCAAACCAAGGAATTACAATTTCCAGTAAGTTTTCTCAAGTGTCACACAAACCTGATTTTTCCAAGAGTAGGTAGTAGTAAAAATTCTGCAGAAATTCGCTTTTTCAGTTTAATAAACACCCGCTACCCACTCCAGTCTTGGTTTACAATGAAAAGTAGAAAACATGTAAGAACCTTTTTCACAGAACAAATTGGTGGAAGGTCATTGATTGCTTCCTGTTGTTTGTACATTAAAAGTGAAACAGTATTTAGTGTGTCCATAACAAGTAAAAATTTGTCCTCTTGCTCCTGCAATGTGGAGGCACAAATGTTGTCTTGGTGCTAAATCAAAACTAATAAATCACTAACCTCTTCTTTGTCAATAACTGTGTTTTCCATCTGTATGAAGATTCGGTCAGTTCCATTATACAGATAAAAAATCGTAACAGCTTCTGCTTATGCAGTATTTTGTAACAGAGTTTGGTACCAGGACCATATATTTTAGAAAAGTGCATTTTGTGGTTATATAGTCAGACTAAAGCAAACATATTAAAGAGCAAAGAGTTACACAAGTCCAGTGAAAGTGGAGCTCTGAAACATCAGTCAGAACCGACCAAGTTTGATGTATTTAAAAGCTTAGCCATGACACTACAAACTTGAGGAGGATCAAGTGCTACTTCTTATAGGAACATAATAAATTTGCGTTTTAATATAAATTTAAATACGTTTTTGGAAAAGTAAATGTCTTAAAGAGTTTATCAAATGACATTTCTTTCTTTCTGCAATTTAGTAGCATAACCCGAAACCTCATTTTGGTTTTAGTAGTTTGAAACCAATTCATATGTTAAGCTGCCATCAGGTGGTCATTCAGAGTACTGCCGTAAACTTACTAAAATGTACAGACATGAAAAACTTTATTTTTGCTTAATATTTAATTAAATTAGTTATTTCCTTTTTTTATTATTAATTTAAAAATATATAAGAATATTCCCATTCCTTTATAAATTCCATTTTTAAACTGAAAGACTTGGAACTTAATGACTAAATGATAAATGTTCTGCATAACACATACTGTACTGTATTTCCTAGCTCTTTGTCACTTAAAGCCATTTTTTTGTATTTTCATGATACCATTGTCTTATGCTTACCTCTGGCTGCCTTCACATGTTGTCTGCATCTGCGCACTTCTCCATCTTCTGCTCCACAGGGCTACAAACCTATACAGAGGTATACTACTTTCAAATCCTGCGTGAGGAAGGAACTCTATAGCAGATAAATGACGGTATGTGTTAGCCACCCAATCTGAGTGTGCTGGCATGCTTGCAAGAATGGCTGAATGTTTAGCTGTCACTGCTTTGTTTCCTGTTCAAAAACTCAGGAAAAGGTTATCTGACTGCAAGCAGTGTGGTAGCTCAAAGCATTACGTTGTGTTTTTGAATGAAGCAATAGAATTTTATGCTGGAGTTGGTAATGACTGACTCACACTGTCACTGTTTTGTAAGCCAGCTCCAATTTTGTACTGTGTTTGAAATGAGTATTCTTTCATAGTTTCTGTTGCTGTTTTCTGTCTGTCCTGTTACTTCTTTTCAAGTAATTTCCCAGGTACCTAAAGTTAATAAGGATTTACCAATGAAGATTGTAGAGGTAGATTTTTCTGACTGTTAGTAACTTGGTTCTACTTCAATTTATACTGTTAGACTTTTGAAAGCAATAATCATTTTTGGCTTGATTAATGCTATACCAGCAATTTTCAAAAATTACCACTGTGTCCACACACAATCACCATGACTGTTTCCATGTATGCACTACATGAATGTCCATTCTTACAGTTAGATTGTGCTGTGGGTTTCAGTGTAAAAACTGGGGGGTGCATATTCTGTAGCCAAATCGTGAAACTATTTGTCACGCAGTGGACACAGCAGACACTGTGTGTTAGTAGACATTTCCCTTCTTACATAAAGCAAAAGTTTTTTTCTTTGTGATTTAAAGTTTTTTCCTATTTACATTTAAAGAGTTTGCAGTTGTTGCTATGAAGGCTGTTAGTTCTCAGATGTATTATTTTACAGAGGGGAGGAGTAAAGAGATGTACACCGTGACAAACAAGGCCCCATGGTCGGTGGTCGGGTGTCAGTGGACCCTGTGCAGTAGCCAGCACATCTCGTGTGCTTCTGAGCCAGGAGGGTTTGACTGTCATTCCCCTGCTGTTTTTAATTCTGAGGTGTAATATTAAGCTTTTATGTTCAATAACCATCTTCAGATGGCTCCATATATTATCATATCGGCCTCTGACCTTCTGAATCCTATCCTTTTCTGTCTTATGCCTCTCTGACCACTTGTATGCCACTCAGTGTGCTGGGCCTCTGGTTTCCGTCTTTCTTCCCTAACTCTGAGATAGCATGTCATGAAAGCAAAGCAAAGCGTCTTGGATCCTGTTTATCTGGGTTGATGGCTGGCTTCCAGCAACAGTGTAAAATCTAAGTGTTTAAGGATGAGGGGTGGGGTCTGTTTACTCAGACTGGTAGCCCATCAGCTCTCCAGTCCCAGTAGTGTTTTTCCTTTGTAGACCCCTGTGCGAGATAGACAAGGGAGAGGAAATATATCTAAACTATTGACCTTTCCTGTGGCACGACATGTCATGTATCATGAACCGTGTTCTTTGGAACTTTTCAGACCATTTTTTTTCAGTGACGTGTGTCACATCTTTTGAACAGGCCGTTTCTCTGAAATTCAGCAGTAGAGATGGCTTGGGGTATGTCCAGGCTTACAGAGACAGTTTGTCCTCCTAGAAAGAAGATGAGTTCTGTTTGATTTGTATATGTTCTTGTACATGTAACATTCAGCATCCATAAAATTATTTTATTATTATTATTTTGATTATCTGTTAACACTTTTAAAATTATACTTCCTTTTGAGTATAGCCCAAATACTGAAGCATTTGTACTAATATGTGAGGGGCAGAACAGGAAATTTGATCTTAATAAAAAAAGCATCTGGTTTCTCCACCTCATTAATGGGAAGTGTAAATGACTAATGAAATAGTTGAAACAATATTTTAGTAATCCAAGTTGCTAGTCACATGAGAGGAAGGTCATGGCTTTAAATTAATTTTATGTAAATTAAAGATCATATCTTTGAAACTTTTGACTCTCAAAGCTTCCTTCCTTCTTTTCCCATGTATTTTTAAAAATGGGTTTTAGTAGTACTTTTTGTCTTTTTGACAAAACCGATATTGCAGTTGCATGTCACGGATTGTTTAAACTGTAAACTTTTCAAGATACGGAACAGCTCTTACAGGAAAGTGGCAAAATGCTATACAGTCATGATGCATGCCTAATAATAGCAGTGAAGGGTATGTGACCCAGTGGAAAAAAAGGCAGTGACGCAAAGGAATCCAGTACCTAATCATCAAACCTAATAAAATTATCTTGGTGACTGAAAGGTTGTAAAAGCATCAAGTTTACATACACCAATACCTTATCAGATCTGAATTCAGGCAATAAATCCATAGGCTGAGATGATGTAAACTGGGGAAAAAATATACAGTGGAGAAAGGGAGATGTTGTTCAGTCTGTATAAAGTCATTCTCAAGAAAAAATTTAAAGTTGAATAATAGTATGTCTACACTACACACTGAGAGACAGAGAAACCAAGTTAGTTCTCAGGGCACGGACTTGGTTAAAGGCAGACTCACTGACATAGTGTAGAAACCTCTGGTTATTTACCCTGCTCTTCTTCCCAACTGGAGCTTCTGGATGCTATTAATAAAAATTCTTCTTGTACCCAAGCTTTCTTGAAAACGTCTGTATCAAATATTTGTTGCCTGTGCACTGAAGAATGCGGTGTAAGCCTTATATTTATAAAATTCCCTGTTTCCTGCTGACACATTAGTTTGGTACTGCTCTTCACTTGAGCAACTGCTTCTTGTCTCATCATGAATTAAAATCATAGAATCACAGAATTGTTAAGGTCAGAAAAGACCTCAGATTATCAAGTCCAGCCGTTACAGTGACATAACCAGTTGTTGGCTGTTCAGATTCCTTTTTGTGCGAAACATTCCATAACTCTTTTAGATTTTTTGTAAACTTTTACTAAAGTTGTTGGAAGTACCAGTTAATGGAAATGGAAGCCTTAGCCAAAGCATGTGAAGTTATTTGGCAAAAGTTACCGTGGAGAACAGAGATAGTTCTGTCTTTGCCATACATTGTGGAGTGAAAGTGGATTTACATAACTCTAAAAATTATTATTTTCCATTTATTTTATAAATAATAAAGATGGAATCATTGGAGATTTGAAATTGAACAGTTTCAGTGGTTAATTTAATTTCAGTCTGATGTACAAAGAAGCACATAAATATACATGAATTACAAAAATCGTCTGCAACTACATCCCAAAGTTAGATGCAGTACAACTACTATTAATTTTACTTCATTCTAAATATAAAAGTACAGATCATTGTGCTTTGATATACTTCCTATGGTAAATGTAGAACTCTGATGAAGGAGATTAAGATACTTGGCACACACACTACAGATTATACCCTACTTTGACTCTACACCTTGAAAAGGGATAAAGCACATTCTGCTGTTCATCACGTATCTTTAAAATGCACTAGTGCCATTTACTCCACATTGTAAAGAATGTTGCACCCTTATAATAAGTAATGATAGTCTGTCCTTGGGAAACCTGTAACAAGCTGTGTGTGGTCTCTGCAGGGCAAAGAGCCTGACACAGCATTGGCAGGTACTCCTTTGCATACACCGCAAAACATGTCAGGAGAGAGCTGCCTAACAGAGCATAGAGGAGAACTCTGCTTCAAATCTTATAGAAGGATATAAAGGAAATTTCTAACAAAGCCCTTTCCAAGTTAATTTCTGAAAAGGGATGCTAGAAGCCATTTTAAGAAGGGATTCAAGTCCATCCAAAAGTACTGTTTGCCAAACTATTTGCATGGTCAGTAGCTGTGATAGATATTTAAGCCAAATTCTGATTTTATTGACTTCTAAAGTATTGAAAGTAACTATTACGTGTCACAGATGTAAATCTAGAAATTAAGTTCTAAATACCAGTAATTTCCTGAGAATCTTAAGACATTTTGCTTTAAAAGAACTGATTTCTAGATGTTCTGAATGTTGTGGGGTTTTAAAATTTCTGATTTAAGGTTTTTAGGAAGTAATAGTTAATAGCTGAAAATAGTGCCTTGGGACTGGCCGAGGAAGGAAATTTCATTTTGAGAAAGCCACGAAAGACTGAAGCATGGATTCAGAATCTCATTTCTAGCTATGTTTCAACTATAAATTGTTATCCTCTGTAAACACTTCATTCTGTCAAGTGAGATTAAATTTGTCATGTAGCTAATATTTTTAAAGCTTTTAATTTCTATACTATCCTAGTACATAGCAGTTGAATATATCTGTTGTAAGATTAAAAAAAAATAAAAGAGGTTGTTGTTTACTACTTGAAGAGACTTTTGCTTACCTCTTCTCTAAAGTAGAGAAAGTGAGAAGCGTGTGCTAAGACACACCTTACTGACTTATGTTACAAAAGTAATTGAAGGTTACAGAACCTGGGCTTTTGAGTCTAAACCTGACTAGAAAAACATACCTGGATACAGTGGGAGGAGAATGTTCCAGTGAAATATGAAAGCACTGCGGAATATGTGAACAAAATGTTTTTTCTGTGGATTTGGTACACTGAGGGTAGATGCAAGAACGGTGCATACATTAGAAATGACACTGTTCATCTAAACAGTCAGTGTATTTCAGCATTTCTTTTAATGACTTCCATGAACATTTCTCTGAACTTGTTTCATAAAATAAAAAATGTGTACCTTAAAGCACGAGTTAATCAACTGAACGTGCTTTTGTTAAATAATGCAGTGCAATTTACAAGTAATGCATTTTTTCATGAGATTGACTGTAAATTTCAACTATAAATTATGCATTCATGTAAGTATTGTTTCTAATATTTCATTTAAAGTCTGGATTATATACTACTGTGGATTAGATTGTTTTCTGAATATTTACAACTCTATAAAATTCTATGTTTTTTAATTAAAAAAGATGAGTGAGAAGAATAAATGGATATAGGCTTCACTGTCTAATGGTTGATTTTAATGTACTGCAATTTTGCAATATTTTTAACAGCTTCACTCGTTTCAACCAAAACAAGGTATTGGACAATCTCTAATCTTGTGTCATGGTTTTGGCTAAGAGACAGTTAATTTTCTTCTTAGTACCTGGTACTGTGCTGTGCTTTGAATTCAGGATGAGAATAATGTCAGTGACACAGTGATGATGTAGATGCTACTGAGCAGTGCTTACACTAAGTCAAGGACTTCTCAGCTTTTCCTGGGGTCCTCTTCACCCCAGTGAGGAGGCTGGGGGTGCACAAGGAGTTGGAACAGCTGACCCCAACTGGCCTAAGGGATATTCCATACCAAGTGGTGTCATGCTCAGCAAATAAACTGGGAGGAAAGCTGGGTGGGGGCTGCTGCTCAGGAACTGGATGGGCGTTGGTTGGTGGTGACCAATTGCTTTGTGCATCACTTGTTTCATATATTTGAATTCTTTTTTCCCTTTTCTGTTAAACTGTCTTTATCTTAGCCCATGAATTTTAGGGGGTTGGTTTTTTTTTTTTCTGATTTTCTCTCCAGAGTGGGGGGAGTGATGTTCAGCTGCCTACCCAGTTAAACTGTGACACCTTGATACTGTAACCACTTGCCTCCAGATACTGTACTTAAATTGTAAATCATCTTAGCAATTAAAATTACTTGTAAATGTTTTTTACTTCCCTATAGCAATTATAATTCCTGTTTCTCCCTTAGCTTCTTTTCCCAGTTGCTCTAATACTTAGTACCTCTCCATCTTTCTACACCTGCTTTCAAAATAGGCTTGTGAAGTTAGGAACAGTGGAAGAAATAATAAGATCCAGTGATAATTACAGATAGCATAGAATCTAGTGAACCTCCCAGGCCAGCCCTTGGCCAGTATTCTTCTCCATTCAATGGGCACTTATTCATGTTGCTGAACTACAGTGCACTTTAGGATTAAGGTAACCTAGTATAGAGAAGCTTTCATGTCATCTGCCTATATTGTATTTGGCTTTTCCTGATGCCTCCATTTAATGAACATTAGTAATTTTCTGTGCTTTTTGTTTGGTGTCATAAGTGAACTTTTTAGTACAGTGTCAACACAAGCAAGAAACAAAACTAGAGAGGGAGCAGGACATACCTGAATAAAGAGCAATTCCTTTCCTGCAGCTTTTAATATAAATAGGCTATCTGTTGAATGCTGTGTGCTGTGAGGTGAGGATGCATTTTGAATACTGAACCTGTGTATGAATTTATAACCCTCATTTTACAGAAGTAAATTTGATCTTTCATTATTTTAATATTAGAACATCTATCTAGTGTGTATGAATCTGAGTAAAATATAATGTAGAATTAAAGAATTTAGTGAATGATATCTTTTTTTCAATTGTATGTTTTTCACTTTTCACAGGAGACTCCAAAGTATGGTTGGAAGGAATATTACTCTTGTGTGATGATTGTAACCAGTGAACATCTCAGAGATCTGTGGAAGCAATTTCGGAGACAAGATATGCTGAGATAAAGGAAGGAAGAAGAATTATCTGCACTGGCTAGAAATATTTATTCCTGTGAATTCCTAACGAAGAACAAACTAACCCAGGTGAATTGTGAATCTTCCAGCTGCAGTAGAAAATACAGGACTTCTTTTCCACTTAGTGTAGTGATCACCAACTCTTAAAACTGCTTTTCAGTATGTATTTTATTTAAATGATGAACTATTACCTGAGTGGCAGAAGTCTTTTTTTAAGAACATCTTTTGAATATTATTTTTTGATTATTTTGAGATAAGTTTGTCATTAAAAAAAAAAAGTTTTATGCCTGGGTAGGAAAATGTTTTGGCAATGAAGAGAAACTCCCTCCATCAGCTTAGACTGTGAATTTGCTTTCAGAAGAGCACTATTGAAAGTTTGTGCTAAACTGAAAATGAGAATGCATTAAGTAGCATAACAATTATGTATGAGTTGAATGGACAAATTAAACTCTTAGAAGCTGTAATTTTAAAAAGAGTAAAGCTGTTATGGTTATAATGTGAATGATAGGTATTTACCTAGGAAAAGTACTGTATGAACTATAACGTTCAAATTCTCCAAGTCTTATTATTATGTTTATTAATTTATCCTTTTGAAAAATAGTAGGGATTTTAAGATGTCTTACAAGGAGTATGTCAAAGAAAAGTCAAAATGTTCAAATTCATGTTAAGTAACACACACTTTGTAATATTTATTATAAATTTTATTACCATACACTGATATGTTTCCAGTAGAGTTAAACTTCTTGTATTTCTTGTGAATAGTGCACTTTTTATGAAGAGGCACTGAGTAGAAATTATGGTTGTCTAATTTGCTACTCTGGAATGCAGTATCTGAAAACAAATAACTCATGTTTGTGTCAAACAAAGGAGCAAAACAAAACATGAATGCATGCAGCAGTACAGAAAAACACTCATTAAGTAATATTATTTGAATATCACACATGAAACATTAGACATAAATTAGGCTGTATAAAGGTTATGGAGAATACAGGCCATCAGTAGCCACTACAACCTGTCATGCCCTCTAGGTTTAAATGTTACTGAAACAGTGGTATGGACACTGTTATATTTGTTTTTCATATTCTGTAAATTTCTTGGTTTCTATTCAGCAGCAGCAGTTTTCCTTACTGCTTTTCAAGATTATTGTCAGGTGGTATGAATTAAGCTCAAACAAAGAAGAACACATATTTTTATACCCTTCTTGAAAAGGTTCATTGAACATTGAATAAGTCTGTATCTGTCCTGGAACAATCTGTGCCTCGAAATCCTTCTAGCTGAGTACATACACACACACACTAAAACAAATGTCAATAAATTGTTAACAGAAAGGCAAATATTTGGTAGTCAGACAATCAAAACAGAACCAAAATAATAGTTTTAAACATCTAGTTACCCCAAATATGTGAAAGCAGACTTTAAAAAATTTTATTCAGTGCACATGTTGCTCAAATACCATCTTATATCACATGTGAATAAGTAGCATTTGTGTAAGTGCACCTAAGTTTAGAAATGCTTAATTTATAGCAAGATTCATCTCTGGTAAAAAAATCAAAACAAAATAAGAAGTAAGTTTTTTTATTAAGAAATTCCACACTGGGAAGTCTAGAAGAAAGTGTGCTAGGTGTTGGCTAAAAACAAAAAGTCAGTTTAGAAAACTATTGAAGGATGATAGTTTAGTTAATATTTCATGATAAAAACTTAGAAAATTTCAACCTTGGTGACTTTAAACTACTGACAGCAAGAAAAAATCAAATAAATTGGGATAAAGGTTCTTGAATTGACACAGCAGAACATAGATAAGCTACAATCCCTGTGTGATCATGTAGGGAATCACCTGTATTCAGTGTATTGTCTTGGTAGGCAGAACTGTCTCACTGCTTCTTGTCAGCATGTAAAAAACCCAGTTTGCTTCTTCAGTGATGAAGGACAAAAAAAAGGGAAGAAATGACAGGGAGTCATCGAAGGGACTCCCATTTTTCCTTTTCATTCACTACTGCCCACTCACAGTGATCCTTCCCTTGGAGGAAGCAGCAGTACCATCATCATTTTGATCCTCCACTGCCCTAAGCAATAGTGCACTTTGCATTTATGGCTGGCTTGAGACAATTTTGGCATTTTTCTATGTATTTCATAATTGTACTCACGTAATATAAACTAGAATGTGAAAGTGTCAGATTAGTTTTTAAGAATATTTTTCCTCATGTTTAATAATGTTATTTAATATAAATATGAATATATACGTATAATATTTCAAAATAAATGCACTTGAAACTAATTTTCTTTGCAGTGTATTTCATTAAAATTCTTTTGTTGTAAAATAATCTTTTTTTTTGGCAACATGAATGTGTAAGCGCTTTGAATTGGAGCATCTCACCATCACAAAAAAATAGACTTGTTTTCTTCTTTTGGTCATATCTTGTGATAGCTTTGCTTTTCTGCCACAGATTTCTGTATAAAAGGGCTGGAATGCAAGGACAGGTGATAACAAGGCAGGGTAACGGCACATGCCATCTGCTATAGAGGCACCCCTCGGATGGGCTGCAGTCACTGTGCTCAATAAGTTCATAAATTATTCAAAATCTGCCAAATTCCTGGCAGCAGAGAAAATGTGTATGCTGCCATGAAACCATGTGAAAAGTTGTGTAAATTAGGGCTTTTTTTAAAACCAGCTCTTGTTCTCCAACGTAAGTTAACTGTAATAGTGTAAGTGAATATTTAGAGGATGCTTTAGGAACTGCCCACAGATGCCCAGACCAGCTGGGATAAAATGGGAACTAGTAAACCTGCAGCTTTGGGTAGCTTTGTGATACTAACTCTTGCCTGGTCTGATGAATTCCTAGTTCCTGGCAGAATACCCTGTACTACAAGCTCCTTCCTGCTAATCTTCTGATATTTAAGATTACAGTGGCAGTTTCCCTCCTTGCACATTTTGGCAGTAAGTTGATACAAACTACTACCACTGCAGATTGTCGTGTTGTATGACAAAGAAAGCTGTCAGCCTGAAGGAAAAGAAACGCTATTGAACAGTAATTGGCAGAATTTTGTTGGTAATACTGCCTAGTTTCTATAGTTATTTGATCTCTTCCACCTAAATATCAGGATACAAATGCATTGCAATAAAAGGGGAAAAAATTATAGAGAAATTTTTCTTTTTCATTTGACATCATGTGATATTCTTTACCTTATGATGTGTCTTGCTTTCTTGTCCCACTGAGGATATTTTCAAGACAGTTTCTAGCAAAACAACTCCAGACTAATAGTTGCAGAAGGAAAGGAATCAGACTAAGAGCTCACTATTCAAAAATGAATCTGAAACTAATTTTTAGCAATACAAAGTCTGAAATCCCCTTAAAATCAAGCCAAAACTAATATGAATATTTTCTAATATGTGTGAGGTCTTAATGTACAGTAGTATTCCCTATATCTGAAAATCCATGAAAGTATTTGGCACTCTGAATCCGTCAGCAGGTAATGCCCTTGCATATATTGCATTCTTTTTCTTACACACACAATTAAATACATGAGGTGTGCTTTAATCTTGAATGGGTAATGTTAATTTTCACCACTAGTTTGACTTATAAATTCCTCCCACAGAGGAGCATTATTATTAGCTAGTAGAATTCCATAAAAATACTAGTACCCACTTGAATTTTTTTATTAAAATACCTAATTTGTATATATAAATATTCATAGAAACAGCAATATATCACTCCTGGGATTTTTTTAACTCTAACCTTGATTCAGAAGCTACAACCTAGATTCAAAAGCAGTGCTATAAAATAAACTTTTAGATATTCAAATCTCTGCAGTAAAACAAGGAGTCTGAAGTTAGTCACCTGGGCTTTCCAAAAAAATGCATGCAGGGAATTGCACAAGATCCAGAAATACCTCAAACTGTTTTAAATACACAAACTAAACTAGTTAACCAGGCAATACTGAGTACAGAGCCATTGTAAGATGTTGTTCCTGGGAGCTGTGCATTCTCATGTGCTTTCTTTAGTGGCCATTAGCATGTGAGGGGAGAGGGCTCAGTTAGAAAGTGACACAGCCAAAAAAACCCATGCAAACATACACACAGATATGATCCTATGAGAACAACTCCCTGTTACAAGAGTGCTGGGGACAGCATGTGAGAGAGGACAGAGGTACATTGCTTGGAGCAGAGATGAAGGGCAGGATAGTGGCAGTCAGGATTCAGAGAGATGTGGCAGTTGCAATCCAATTATACGTCTTGCCAGAAATAAAACAGCTTGTAAAGCGAATATGCCCTTGCAGTTGGAAACTGTGCGACAAAACCCAGTACAAGGAGCAGGGACTGGAATCCAAAAGTCCCTGGTGTTTTGGTCAGATGCCCTCAGAGGCTGCTGGAGCATTTACTTTCTCTGGTGCTGTGAACCTTGCATCCTTTTCCGTATCATTTCAAAAAGAGAGTGGACAAATTACTAAAACTGGCTTACAGGCTGGCAGTTAAAACATTTCCATGGGAAGTGGAAAGAAAGAAATTATGGCTGTTGCTGCATTTTATGCAGACATATTCTGAGGATCCCCAGCAACAGAAAGCTTGAACTTAGGCAGGAATTTTATCCGTGAAGAATGGCCAAACCTAGATGTATGACCAAGGCACAGAGTGGCTTAGGTCTGTCATGGCGTTTCGGGGCATTAGCTGTAGAAGCAGGTTTAAATGAGCCTATCTAAAATGAAAAAAGGAGGTTGTCAGAATGATAGTTTTAAATTTAGATGTTTACTTTTGGAGTCAACCATTAAGTCACTTAACTTCTATTCCAAATGGCAGAAAGCACTGGATTGGTGCACACAGCATGGGATAAGGTTTCTTACATACAGCTCTTGAGGGGTTTTCCACTACAGGGATTTTGATTTTTGCCTAAGCAGAGACCTCCTTGGGCGACTGTACAGATCTCCATTGCACCAGAACTAGTACTGATTGGAGCTGGTTTAGCTTTATCCTGTATTTCCCACCTTAAGTGACAAAAGGGGAAGCAGCAGGGGAATGAAAATTCACAGATGGGTGCATCTGAGAAAAAAACAATGCACAAATTGCAACAATGCACTACTGCTGAAAGTGACAGAAGAGTAGGTGGGTAATAACCCCAAACAGGACTTCAAAAACTTCCTTGAAGGCAGACTCTGACAAATATAGTATTGTATCAATCCAGAGGCAGCAATCAAGACATTTGAGGAGGGACTTCATTACTTGGAACAAAACAAAAAAAAAAACAAACAAAACAAACCACCATAACACCACCAAACAAAAAAAGAATCATATGACAACAGTTAGGTTTGGGTATCCAAACAGTTGCAAATAATTGAGTACCGAGCTCAGATGAAGGGAGAGCAAGAAGTTGAATACATCTGGGCCAGTCCTTCAATTAAAATACATTTGACAGCTGGACTGACACTGGGGAGGGTACTTGAGCTGCCTGTTTTCATGTAGCCAGGAGCCACAAACTATACACAGACAGTACCTGACTCCAGCTGAGATGCAACATACATTTTCTAGGAGACACCTTATACCAGAGGTGTTGCAGAGGGATTTCTTTTCCTTTTTGTGGTAAGTGTGGTCCAACACCCAAACGTTCTTGAGATAAGCAAGCAGAACAGCCGCTGTCTTGAAGGCCAGAGAGCATCCCTGTAAAGCTGCTGGTTCACCTAATTAGTGCCTTGTGCGTGTGTGTCAGTCTGTGTGTATTCCTGCTTCTAGGTGCTGCTCTGTGTATTGTGTAGGAGCAAATATGTATACTTCCGTCCTACTGTCCCTCCTCCTCTTGCTGCTCCACTGAGTACACAGGATGTGGTGGGGGAGAAAGTATTCCACCATATCAGATTGCTTACATAGGGGATGACATGTTAAGATTCTATGAACTATAAGTGCCTAGTCTGATAAATACATCTTAAATTAAGAACAGTTTTTTGTGTGTGCTTATCAGTCACTGTATTCTGCATATACTTAGTCTGGGATTTTTGAAATAGACCAAATAATGAAAGAAATACTGAACTTAAAAAAAGCTATTATGAGTTTATAAAATGAATCATGCTTTATTGCTAACAGACAGAGTTCCAGAAGCATTTGGACAATGCTTTCAGGCACATGGTGCGATTCTTGGGGCTGTCCTGTGCAGGACCAGGAGTTGGACTTCGATGATCATTGTGGGTCCCTTCAAACTCAGAATATTCTGTGATTCTGTGATTTTCAAACTGTTCTAGCACAGTAAACCTGTGACATCTTAAAATTAATTATCTAATAATGTGAAGTCTTTATTTTCCACACTCAGTTGTTGCAATGGTAGTCTTAAGAATTCAGTGTAATTTTATAGTCAAAATGTAATGAGCTAGATAAACATATGGTGTTTCCAGCTACAGATGCTCTCTTACTGCGGTACTGTGGTATTCAATTCACGTACACATTAAGGAGAAGACTGTTAATTTTCATAATCACATTTCTTTTGTGGCTCATTTTACTTTCTTATTTGTACTGTTTTGAAGTTTTATAACCTTTCAAACAGGCATAAAACTGTGCTCTGAAGAGACTCACTGTGCTAAATTATCATTAACAGATAATTTTTCTCTGTTATGTGTTAAATATCCTCCCTTTAAATTTCCTTCCATTTTGCTGCCATTACTTTATAAGATTGATTGTCAGGAACTGTTTATCACATCTTAATAAAATACATTCAAGATGTCTGTGTAATTTCATTAGACATATACAAACCTTCTACTAC